TTTAGTTGACATTTTCCTAAAAAATTAAGTGAATTCTATTTCAAAAATTGAGTGGCAGCCCTATATCTGTTTTTTTCTATGTAAGAATAATTTTATTGACTGTTGGATGAGTAACATTGGTATTTGTTTTTAAAATTTGCATCAATATTATTAATTTTGTGGTAAAAAGTTTTTAATTAAAAATTCTGCTTTTAAAGTATAGTGCTAAGAAATGTCATTTTTAAATTTTAATGGTGCCCTGAAATTTTTATTTAGATTAGTTATATTGCTTAAAATTTTATTTCAGTTATTAAAAAGTCTATACATTTAACTTTTTTTTTCTTAAATGTGCAGGATGGAGTCAACCGTACCATCTCAACTGTCTCTTGGTTGCCCAGAGACAAAACTGTGTGAACTGTATCCTTACTGATATTTTCATCTGAGTCCCTATGAAATAAATGAAAATTATGTAACTAATACTTATGAGTTTAAAAAAAGCATATTTTAAGACTTCAAGGTATTTTTAAATACAGATGAGAGTGTTTTGTAATATATTTTGGGTTGTATTTTGTGATACATTTTGGTTGGACACAATGGTAAACATCTTCATCTTTCTTATTTTTCTGTAGTTAGATTTTGTATAAGTTTCATCAAAAATACAAACTTATTACGAAATAACATAGTTAATGACTAAATGATTACAATCAAACTTCAATATTAGAAATTTAACGAAAGACACTAAGAATTTCGGATTATTGAAAATCCAATATTATAATTAAATATTGTTTAACAATTCGGTCAAAATAATAAGTTTATTGATATTTTGAAAGTGGTGTAACATGAATTTGTTTCATTATGTCGAAATCATTGCATTTACTGTGTAATGTTAAAATCTTTGCATAATTATTTGATTTTAGTCTCTGTTAAAGTTTTTCTATTTTTTTTTTCTGATAGCAGAAATAGAAAATAAAACCGATGCTCTTGCTTCATTTAATATTTCTGATTCTCCCCTGACACCACATAATGAAACAGTATTGTTCATTGTATTCCTCATAAATATCAGTTTCTTTTGGATTTGTTAGATTATCAAGTTCTTTCTTATTTTTTCCTCAAATATGCTTATTTATACACATATTTTCCCTGTCAGCTCTTTTAGGGAAAAATAATTCAGGAAATTTCTTTTCAATCATGATAATTTATTTCTTAATAGAGTTGTAAGGAAAAGCCTTTTTAAAAATTCATTCATTAAGAAAAAAAAATTTTTGATCATTAGATATGTGTTGATGAATATCAAGGATCATCAAGAAATTCGGCTAAAAAAGAAGGTTTTTTTTAATAGCAACATAGCAAGCATTTAATTGAGTTGGTAATATTTGTTTTTATCCTTGCTGTCTTAAACTGTCCTAAATTAAATAATGCTGTTGAGTTTTATGTGAACAATGCTAAAATTTTTAATTTGGGATCTTATTGAAAAGGAAACATGTAAAAATGAATATCAGTAAAAAAGGTGTAGTTTTTATGTGCAAAAAGTACACAATGATTATATTTGGAGTTATTAGTCTATCTATTTTTAAATTTATAAATTTTAGGCAGGTCAATTTATATTTGAACTACAATTCCTGTCCAAAACCTCTTACTGACATCCAAAACCTCATCCTTTATAAAAAAAATCTTATTTCGTATGAGGTTAAACAAAAAAATATGCAATAAAATTTTATGTGACAAGTTATAAAAACATGGGAAACTTTACTTGTAATCAACTTAAACAAAAGTGCTGGTAACTCAAACTCTTTTTGTAACCAACAATAGTTGAACTTCATTTTACATATATATATATACAGTAGAGAACCGATTATCCGGAACGATCGAGAACCATCGCTATTCCGGATAACTGATTTTTCCGGTTTTCTGAATAGCTACAAAAAGCCGTTTTTTTAGTGTTAAACCCAACTAAAAAAAAATAATAATAATATTTGGAAATAATCTTAAAAATAAGAAAAAAGCAATGAGGTAATACACTAATGATTATTTGTGAAATGATGGTAAGGTAAACANTATATATATGAATCAAAATAAATATTAATTTTTTTTATTCATACATATATATGGATCAAAACAATTTAAGATTCAGAGAAGTTGTGATATGTTCCGAAAAAATTTACCTAATATATTGGGATTCTAAGCCTTTCCCATTTCTAATTCTAAGAATTTTATTTTAAATGTTAGATCAACTTTAATTTAAAAAAAAAAAAAGAAAAAACAATTATCACTTATTTTCTTTTGAAATTTATATTTTCTTTAATAATATGTTAGATATTGTGTCTCTCGTGATGTTTTGTTCAGTGGCAATCCTTTTACTGAGAAATTTTTAAAATCTCTTGTATCAATACTGAATCAGTCTAGTAATACATTGAATGTAGAAGAACTTCTTAGAATAGCTGATTCACCTGATTACCAAATATTTGTTCTCTTACCTCCTTTGCAAAGGTGTACTACCAAAATTCCTCTTGAAGTGTTGTGTGCTATTATTGTAAGAAAATAAATCCAACTACAATAACATGTTAATTATTATTTACTACTGCTATAAATTTATAGTATGTTAAAAAGCTTGATGAATGAAGGTTGTGACATTTTAAAAAAAAAGTTAAGGTGTCTTGAAGAAACTTGTTTTAGTGATATTTAATTGTACAACAATAATTTATTTGCAAAATCTTAAGTTTTGTAGACCTTAATAGAGGATGGTGCTAAGTAACCCTCTCTACATTTTTCCAGTGTTAAGGGCTTCAAGTACCTTTAGCGACTACCATTTCTTAACAAATTTATATTTTTGCAATAAATTAAACCTCAAACTGTGACATAAATTGATATGACTTTAAATTCGTGTAGAGGATTTGCAGATTTTGCCAATTAGAATCTGATAAGAAATAAAGACAAAATATAATCCTTAATTCCTTTCATTAATATATAAACTTTTCACATAATTTAGTTATAAATGTTTAAGGTTATTTACTTAAAATCATTAAGATCCTCAGCAAATTAAAGCAATATATCACAAACAGGTTAAATAAGTGTTTGGGATTTATAGATTTTGTCCATTTAAAGCTTTTGGACAAGAAATAGAGATACTAAGTGACAGTTTTTTTTTAGTATTTTCAGTGGGGAGTGGCTCATTTAAATGATTGTGAGTGATTTATAGATTTCACCAATTGGCAACTTAGGGGGAAAAAAAATACAGGCAGAAGGCAGAGCATAATCTTTCTTTCTTGCTGTCAAAGTTTAAAAGTTAGTTTACATGAATTCCTTGAAATGTCACTTAAAACAAAGTAGGCATTTTTGAGAAATATTTACACCAGAAAAATAAATTTAAAAATAAATAAATTTTTCATTTGCATATAAAACATTTCTTAATTTTAACTTAGCTTGCTTTGCTAATAAATTTATTGCACATTTGAAGGGGAAAAAACTTAATTCTTTACTCCAAATGTGTAAAATTACTGTTCCAAAAATGTCTTTAAACATCTAAACTTGAGGTAATATCAAAAGTGAAATAGAGATTTTTAAGTCCAAATTGTTAGAATTAAGCATCAACAATCAGCTATATTTTGAACTCGATCAGTAAAAATTTATATTACTAAATTTGACGTCATCAGATACAAGTTTAACATAAGAACTCATTTTAGTTTTAACCAGGCATTTTAGTTTTAAGAAAAGTGTGATAACCTGTAATAAATATCAAATTCTGTATATTGCTAAATTTAACATTATGTACAATTTTAACGTTTTTATGAAACTATCTTGGCTGTTACCAAATATTCTAGCCATGCAAAAAATGTGGCAACTTAAATGTTTAGTAATATAATTTTTAAATGTTATTTTTACTTGAAAATTAAATTTTGATTAATTGTTTTATCAGGTCCATATTGAGTTTAACCTTCCCTCTGACATTGTGAAATGTGGATCAAATCTAATTCAACCCATGCCTAGTTGCTTCAATAAATGGAATGTGAAGACAGATGTTTCGAGATTACGTGGTCTTCATATTATTAACTTGGCAACACATCCTCAGTATAAAAAAGTAAGTATTTCCTCATAAATTTTGATTCAATTATTGTAATAAATAGAAATGATTCAACTTTTTTTATTTATAATATTTCTTTTTTGTAAACAAAGAAAACAGTTTCATAGTTGAAAGTTGTCACTTTAAGCCCTTTTATATGACAGGCATATTAATGTGATAATATACATGACCAATTTAATGTGACCAATTTTGAGAGGAGGAATACTTTTTTGATACAAGGAAAATATGTTTGAATGGTTTGTAAAGCACTGTGATTTCTATGTGGGCATCTAGATGGTTTTTTGCATTTTGCTGCTAGTAGAGTTTTTACAAACTTATAAAGTATTTATCTGTAAGCATTGCTAAAAAAAACTGATGTAAAAATTTTGCAGTTAGATAAAGTGTAACTTATCAGTTGCACGATTTTTTCATGTGTACAAAGATAAAAATTTCCATAAAATGAATCAAAGTTACCACTCTTATCTATAGCTTAATTATTTCATTTTCTTTTAACTTCTTGCTATAATGTTGCCTGCCACAAAAATTAAATAAAAAAATACTCATGTTTGTGCAATGTATGGAAAATCAACTTTTAGATTGATAAAATGTTCTTTCAGAGATATCAAACTTGAAATGAAATTATAGTTTGATTTAAATAAGTGTTCACTTCTTTATTATTAGTATTTTATTATCAGGAATGTACAAATAAAATTCTCTAAGAGCCAGCTTGTTATGGATTGTAGATTTGCTTAATATCGTACTAAAATATTTGACTCCAGTTTTGATTTTTTAGAAACTGTGGCTACCAAAATTCCAATACCCTCGATTGTTTTCATTTTATAAAGGATTTTGAATTAACTGATTGTCAAACAATTTCTTACTTATAATTTATATTCTTTCCTTTTTAATATTTGATGTAATTGACTTGATTTTTATTTTGAAGTGTTTTTAATTTCTGCCTTAGATGGGATATGGCTTGCGAGCTGTGCAACTATTGAAAGAGCTGTATGAAGGAAAAGTTATATCGCTTGGAGAAAATGTGAAATTGTCTACTAATAATCAACAAACGGTTGAAAATCAAGATGGTGGTTCTAAATTCGAATCCCCTCTGTTACTTCAACTATCAGATTTAAAATTAGATAATATAGACTTCATGTGTGTTTTCTTCAATTTGTCATCAGATGTTTTCAGGTTGTTTTTCTGTCTCTTTGTTTTTATAATCAAATTTTATTTTTAAAAGAAAAAAATCTTTAAAATAATGTCAATTAAAATAGAATTTTAAAAAATATATATTTATATAAATTTTTGCAACTTTATTTTTTTCTAAACTTTATAATATATTTATGTCGAAATATTTTTTCTCTAGTTTTTGGAAGAAAGCGGAATTTGTACCTTTATACATGGCTGCTAACAAAGTAAGAAAAGGTTTTTCCTAGCATTCTAATTACCATCATTATTTTCTATATCTATTGATTGTTTTTTAGCATTTCATTTCAGTTTGTCATGCATTATGATTGTTTGTTTTCAAGAAAGTAAAATTTCAATAGCCATTTAAGCCATTTTATAGCCTTAGCCATTTTAAAAAACCAAACCTTTAAGTAGTTTAAATAAATGCCCATGAACCTAAAATACTCTTTGTTTTTTTTGCTTTTAAATTTATTTTTGCACTTGACTGTATTGAATTTGTAATGTTTTTATTAGCTGCTTAGTTACTCTTCCAGCTGATAAATACTGCATTAAACTATCATTTTGGGATGATTACCTTTTTGTTTATTACCAGTTTTTATTTTTCAGGATTCTGATGTAGTACCTATTGCCATGTTTAAACCAATCAATGAAGAGTCATCTAGTTTTGTAGAAAAAAATATAATGAGTTTCATCAATCATTATTTTGCAATTCTCAAATCACATTATAAGAAGTTTCCAGCATCTTTTGCTCTTAGCATATTCAATTCTTGCCCGAGAATTATAAACACAAAAGGTATGTTATCCTTATGACCACTTATCAGAATATATGTGTCATAAAATATTTTGTCTATAAAAAAGAAGTTTTATTTAAGAAATCTTGCTATATTTACTATTTTGGGTTAAAAATGGGGGGTATTTTTTTTTCTCTTGTTCTAAGTCTATTAGATGTGGAAAATACGATTCTGAATATTCAAAATAACGCTTTCATTATTTTACATTTTGTGAGTTATTTAAATAATTTCTACTCAAAAATTAAATGCTATACCTTGCAAAACTTCCGAGTGCATTTTTCTTAAGAATTGTTTTCTGAAAGTGGTGCACATTGTTAGTCATATTCTACTCTTATGTTTTTAACCTTTTATTGTCAGGGGTCTGTCCAGGCCGAATTTACTACCGTTTATCGGTACCTTCACAGATTCATCTTTAGGAAAAACGGTAGTTTCACAAATTCAACTTTGGGAAATATGGTAGTTTCACAGAATACTTTTTCTTAAAAGAAGCGATAAATCCATATTTTTCTGTTGATTATTTAATATAAGTTTAAATTTTTCACCAATTATTTCTAAATTTTCACAAAATAGGTACCTCTCAAAAAAACCTAGACAGATTCCTGATTGTGAATAAATCAGATATGTAAAGTTTAAAAAATTACTTTCTCGAACAAATGTCTTCCTTAAAATAGAGATCTGCATGTTCTATATGCTATGGAGCGATTTCACTATTTGGGAATGTCATGTATGCAGACTTTAAAAACAGTTCAGTTTTAAAAATTCAAACAACTCTAATAATATTTTTGTGAAAATAAAGCTTTGCCATCATTTATCCTCTAACTTTGAAAAAAAAACTACTAGATTTTATTTTTAAACTAAGCTATATATTAGATGTCCCATTGGTAATTTAAAACTCACCCAACTTCATATCGATGGGTACCTTCTTGTCTGGGATGTAAACACAGGCTGTGTTCAATGCTGAGCACAATCCCACAATCATGTCATTAGTCCTGAAATTGTAGAGCCATAGTCCACCTGGAATGCTTTACTTAATGCTTTGCAAGTTATTCTGCAAATATGACATTCTTATATGGTGTAATTTTCCTATGATAATCGAGTATCTGCAGTTATTTTAATTTTGTGTTCTATAATCTTTAGATTTACAGAATACAAAAATTTCATATTTATAATCAATTGTTTTAACTTTTTTACAACTGTTTTAATAATTTATTTTAATAATTTATTTCAATATTTGTATAAACTTGTTTTATTTTATTTTCTAGATATTTCTAAAGAGGAATTGGATTTATATTTAAAGCCCTATCATATGAAGTCACTTGAAAAATATTGTTTAAGGCTTCAAGAATTGAATACAGTCATTCACATCATTCCTACCATTGCCAAACTATATTTTAAGAATGTCTTGAAAAATGTACACCTTCCAGTTGCCCAAGAAGTAAAAACATTTATAAATATTAAAATATTTATTATTAACTGAAGAAGTTTCCTGTTACATGCAATGCAATTTTACAATTTACATGCTTAATTATTTCAACAATTAAGCATGCATTATCTTAATTCTACAATACAGTATTATAATATCATCATTATGCTACATTATCATTGCTTTGATACTATTGTGCAAACTTAATACCCATACACATGTTCTGTTACTTCTTGAACCAAAAATATTCTTTTATACTCCATTAAAAATCAGTTTTTAAATTTGATGTATATTACCGTGATCTAAATATTCCTGGAATACTTCATTTAAAATTCATCAGTTATGAATATCGTCTGTGAAGTTTTATAAATTATTTTTATGACTTTTATAAATATAAGGTATTTAATTTTATCGCCTAAAATTAAACGGATATTTAATTTGGACATGGTTTTTCATTCCGGTGATTTTCTAAAAAGAAAAAACTATAAAAAAACATGCATTCAATTTTATTTCGCAATGAAATATGTACTACAAATGCAGCAGTATTTGGTTGATATGAAAATTTAAAAATGTAGAAAATCCATCAAAGATGACCACCGTTCTGGTAAGCCCTTCTCTTTTATTAATGATCCAGTATGGATCAAGTCAAAGAATTGATACTCAGTGCTTTTTTAACAGTTTTTAGATTATACTCTGATTCTACTTTAGATTATACTCCATTATCCATAGTGCGTAGTGATTTTAAAAAGAGCTTATTTTCGATTTTCATTTTTTAAAAGCCCTTAAAAGTGCTTTTTTCATGGGGTGTTTTTAAAAAGTGCTTAATTTTCTCTTTTTGGAAAAGATTTTTTTTTCTTTACCATGTTGATATTCGCTGCGTAATATGCAAATTTAAAAGCGTGGTTTTCGCAATGTTCTATTCAACGTTTTCACATTTCATTGAACCACAATCCATTTTGGCGTATCGTTGGCCCGTAACATATGATGGCACCAATCATATTACACATTTGATGAAATACTTGGGAGTCTGCATGTGCGTCTACTGAGCTGGATTCGGAAGAATCTTGCATTCTCATGCGCAACTCTGCTGCATTTTGCAAGGTATTCTCAATTCCAGGCTTCATTTTCCTCCCTCTGAAATCGAACTGAAAAATCTCCTGATCTTTTTATGGAGACTAATATAATCAAGAAAAGAGTTTTTTGTCAGAAACTAGTTATTTTATCATGATCAAAAAGTCTTTGAAAATTATTATGCATTTTGTTAATGTATATAGTGCTTAAAAATATTTTTTAAGTCCTTAAAAGGTGCTTATTTTTTGTTAAGAGATTTGGCTATGCACCCTGTTATCCCCATAGAGGGAACCTGTTTGCCTCTAAGTGAACTCCGAATGTATGCCAAGCTCCCAGCTTGATCGTATATCAACAACGCTACCTTTGCACAGTCTTCTTTTTGCTTGCTTTTCTAAATTGTGTGAAATGAGGAAAACAAAACTTATTGAATAAAAACTATTGTTTTGTTTCCCATAAAAATAGAAAGTTGTATCATATTTAAATACTATTTTTTAAGTTTAAAGGAGCGGATAAAAGAATAATAAATTTTATTTCTTGTAAACAATTTTCTTCTACAGCGAAACAAAAGTAAAAGCACTTCAAATGAAATGTCTGTCTAACATGTTTAACTTTTAACTCTTATGAGCTTAAGCAATTTTTTCTAAGGTTATTTTGATAATAGTAAAAAACAATGACAAAAGTACATTGAAAGTATTTTTAAGGGGATAAAAAAATAAATTCTTGATTGGTACTTTTTGTTTTATGTCACAATTTCAATTAATTTTTGATCTTGTTATTATAAGGTACTAAAATGTCAACATTTAAGTAATCATTTTGGGGAATATATCCGAAATATTTGTTAAATACCATTATTTTTTGTTTATAACAGCAAATGTTAATATTCAGCATCTATCCCATATATACATGTTGACATCTTAAAGGATATCAATAAAATTGATATGTCTCAATTTATTGTAAAGGTAAATGCTTTTGCCTGTTTATATAAACTCTATTGCATAGTCCCTAAGTCGGGATGGTGTAGTGGTAAAGGCACTGAGCCATCCCATCCTTGAGACCCAGTTGACATCATTGTAAAAAACGATGGTTTGATCCCAAATGGCAGCTTGATGTCCCATCCAGTGTCAGATCGATGGGTACGAGATTGACTGACAAGTAAAGTGGTTTATGTGCAATGTGCATCAGTTGAGACAATCATGCCATTTCTCACACATTAACAAAGCAGTAACCCTGCCTCTGACTTTATTTTAACATGTTACACATTTCAAATATGTTGTATTTTTTGGCTCACTAAATTGTGTGGGGCCTATTTCAAAAGTGCATTGTGCAGGATTTAACTTGGCATGCTTATCTTATGTGTAATGTCTTTGAATAAACTTACAGGCATTTACTAAGCCAATGTACAACTCGGCACTTGTTAAAAATTTAATACAAAAAGTTAAATAAATAAAATTTTGATAGTTCTAATTAGTTATTGTTCTAATTAGTTTTTTCCTTCTTTTTTTACTATATGATTAGCATATCTTTATCAATTCAGTTTATTAAGTGGTACTCCCTTTATGTAACATTGTATTAAAAAAATATCTCGTTTTCTAATTTCTGGATAGCACCCATGATTTTATAGATAATTTTTAAAAATGTGTAGTTATTAGGAAGAATGTAGGACATAGGATATTTTAGAACTAAATGGTAAAATGTCTGCATTTTTTCTCTCAGAAAACACAAATGCTAATGAAAATAAGATAATAAGGAAAAAATTTTACATACTGAATATGACAGGTTTACCATGAAGTTATCCATGTTTTATTTTCTGTGTATAGAACAGGAAGTCTATATCAAATTAATGAGACACTGTTAATGTGAAATTGTTTATAGATATATATTTGATCAGATTATTGTTTAATTACTGATGATATCGTTATATTTTAACCTTTCCGTTATTAATTTTTATTTTGTCCATTTAGGCTATATTGCTGTCATATGGGTTACAAAACAAATCGTTAGATGCTATTTCAAAAGATTTAGAACTACAGAATATTCAAGTTGTTGGTCTTTTAAATCGAACACTAAAGAAAGTCAGCAGTTACATTTCGGGAATTATTGAAAAAAGTGTTGAAAGTACGTTAATCTCTACTGATGTTGAAATGAAGCCTTTAAAAATGGATTTGGATGAAGAGCTTGTAAGGCAGCATTTGAGAGTATAGTTTTTTTGTGTATTTATTACATTTTGATTCAAAAATCAATCATTTTATTATTTTTACAGGAAGAAGCTGCTATTCAAGTTCAGAAGCAACAGGAAAAACTACTTGCTTTGGATGTTTCTCAATATGCAATTAAAGGATCTGAAGATGAATGGCAAAAGGCACTTTTTACTGGAAGAAAAACGCTTGTTAGCATAAAGAGGTACACTTGTTATTTATTATTTTTTTCCATTTATTAATTGCTGTTTTCTATATGCTGTGTTGAATTGACATTCTCATTGTTATGGAATTTGAATATGGAGTCTAGTGTGAAATATTTTTACTGTCAGTTTATTTTTATCAAGAATTATGTTCTTATATTATAAAAAACATTCTCTGGTATGATTTTACAATAATCGATGACTGAACCCAACAAATGCGTAACCAAGCTTTTTGTTAACATTTTGTATAGAACACCTTTTTATAACCTAAATTCTATCTCTTTTAGGAGTGATTAATAATTTTTTTCTTCATAGTTTAAATTAAAAATTTACAATGCTAATATTATATTAAAGTAATGTATTCTGATATTTTATTCCAAACACTAAGAATATGGCATGTAAAAAAATTAGGAATTGATTTTATAAAAGTTTTAAAACACTTTTCTTCCATTAAAAATCATCCAAAAATAAAAACTGTAAACTGTACAACAATTCCAATCAGTCATCTATGAGAGAAAAAGTTCCCTTGAACTACCTCTCTATTAACTTTGATATGAATGACAATATTTTTTGTTAGTTCATGTACAATGGTTTTTACTTACCTACCTTTTTGTTTATTTAGTCCTATCAGTTAGAATAATTATGATTTTGGTAAAATGTGTTTAATCTCTTGCAAGCTAATTTTTTTAAGATTTTTTTCTTCGTGTAATGGCTGCATCTTTGTATATTATAAAATTGGAGATTTAAATGATAAGAATAATTACATTTTCAGAAATCTAAGAGTAAAATTGAAAAGAAATTTCACACTAACCTCTTGTAAGTTGATGTGAATATCATCTTTAGCACTTGAACAAAAATGAAACAATTAAGAAATAAAACTTACTAAAACACCTAAACAACTGCAGAATCTGCATTGTACTGGAAAGCGTTATCCTTGCCAAGAGATTATACTTATACTCAGTTTTAGAATTTATTGAAACAATTTATAGCTCAATCTTATTAAATTTAAATTTGTATGTGATCCCCCAAGGTAGTCAAAAATTATTAACTTATTACCAAGATTTAATCTTCATGCATGTAACTAACTTTGAATTTGTAAAAAAAAGTATGCATCAAAAAATATGTTAATTTAACTTCAATTTCTCACTGTCATATTAATATATTTTTCATAGATATTTATAACATTTTCAAAATTGTAATAAATCCCAATATAGCCTATAACAAAATTTTTGAAAAAGATTTTTTTCCCCTTTCTTCTCTCCTTTATTATTATTAATATTTAAACAAGTTCAGAAAATTTAAAAAAAATTGGTTAGAATGTTTGAAAATCCCCAATTCTCTAACATGTCTGCAAATTAGTTTTAGATTTCAAAAAGATTTTGGGTAATTAAGAAAATCTTCATTTATGCAAGATAAATAATCCCCACCTGCTACATTTAATCAGATCATTTTATTCTATCTAATAACAAAAATCTTCACTCTTTTACATTTTCAATACATAATCTAGAAATGTTTTAATCTTTTTTTCTTTTTGAGATCGAAATATTATTACTTCCTGGTGTATGGTTGTATTACTGCCGTGGAAATATAGTGATTACATGATAAGCCCTCTATATTTTTTTACATTAAAATTTTTAATTGCTAAATATGATGCAAAATTTCAGTCTATATTTACATATCAGTTAATCTCTTTTCATGTTTCATATTTTATTTTCTGATATTTATTTTATAACTGAAAGATTTAATTCATTTATTTCTTTGCAGTATCAAGAATAAAGTAGAAAATGAAAATGCTGCTAAAACTGAAAATAAATTCAGAAAACACAAAAAACAATTTAAAAAGAAAAAACACTGATCTATGTATTAAATTTTTTAAATGTATATAAAGTTTTGTATTTATTAAAATGTTTTTTATTATGTTACTTTATTTTAATTTCAATATTTATGAAATACATGTGAGAAATATTTTTAAACTGTTCAGTGACTTAAGCTACTTTTTTTATCTTTTTTTTTTTCGTTTTTTTTTCGGCAGTCAACACCATGCATTTCCACATGGTATAGAATCCAAAATTTTAATACATAATCATAGCAACACACAAAATATAAAAGGTGGATGTACATGTGAGTTTTCAAACTGCTCACTGTTTGTAATTTTATTTCTGATTTTTTATAGTTTAAATGTTTTTTTGTTTTTTTTTTAAGAAAAGAAAATATTTACTTTAACGTTTTATTAAGTTGACTGATAAAAAGTATTCATTGCTTGGATGGAGCATTAATGTTCACATAAAACTTGCCATATTTGCCATCAACATAGAATAATCATCAACAAGCGATTTTACAGATATGTGTACGTCAATTGGTTAAATCCTTAATTGCTGGAGACATAATAAAAAAATTATCTATACATTTATAAGGTTGTGATTTAATAAATTACTAAAAATTATCTTCTGCAAATAACAGTAGTTGGGAACTGTATATTTATGATGAAAACAACTTATAACTGTAGAGTGTTTTCTTAAACCAGTTTTTAAAGTTCTTTTAGTTAAATTAGTTTCAGTTGTTTAGTTGTTTCGAAACTAAAAATCGTTCACTGCAATTAATCTTGAAATTTTGCTTTTTTTAAAAAAAACTTATATAGTATTTTAAGCTTTTATTTAAAAATAAGTGTAATTATATTAAGAATGCTGCCAAGGATTTAGGCTTGGCAATAAAGAACATAGTGTGTAACTGGTTAAGATAAGAAGTCATACCTACTTTTGAATGCTTCATTACGCAGTTTAAGTGCCTGGGTCCACTGATTACTAATAATGATATGAAAACTAAAATTAAGCTAATGGCGATACTTGACAATTGAAATAAGCTACAGTTGGCGCAGAGCAAAAACTCTCTACCTTTCGCAACATTGCATGCATTCACTATTAGCGTGTGGATAGTCATAGGGAAAGGAAGTACGTTAGTTTCCGTCTTGATTTTCAAGCAGACTAAAATCTTTTAAGTTAGAAGAATTTGAAACTCTAAACGGCATTAAACATGGTTTTTAAGGAGAGCATTGTGGAAATTTAAAAAAATATTTTTGGCAATTAAATTCGAAAAATGTTATGGAAGGGGAAAATATGTAGTATATTCCCATACAACTGAGCAGAGGTGGAGAGGAAAGGGAGGAGGGTCAAACATGGAACCGGTCTTCTCCCCAAATGGCGTATTCGAGCGTTGCGATCGCAAATCATAAAATATATAATAAATATAGACAACCTAGCATTTCAAGAGTTATATAGTATCAGATGGCGTGGACATATTTTGACAATAACGCCTGAATTCACCATAGAAACTAACCCTTAGTCACAGTTCAAAACAGGATTTATGAGAGCAACTCCAGGTTAGATTCCAAGAATTAACCTGGATTACCAAGAATTAGAATTTCATGATGCATGTAACCGTGGACAATTTTTTTTTTATTAGTAGAGGATTTCTTATGTTTTTAAATATAACAGTTTTGATGTTCGGTTGCTTTATTTTATGTCCAGTGAGGTCAATTTATTACAAGATGTAACTAGAATTAATTTATATCAAAAGCTTATTAATAAAATGAAAATTAAATCTTCCTGGGTTAATATCTTCTATAGAAGATATATATATTTCTCAAATTATTATAAGCAGTTGTTGTTGCACTTAAGTAAGTTTTTGTTTGGAGAAAAAAAATCGTGGATGATACAAATTGTGACCACAGTATTATTTCAAATAATTGGTGTAAGTAATAAGATTCTAAATAATGTAACTAGCTTTTATTTAATTTTTAATGAAGAAAAATAAAAAAAAACAATCGATGCTTGAAAGAAATATAAAATTTAAAAAAGAATACAATTCAGAAAATAATTATAGATCTTCATGATATGCCAACCAGGTGGCCGAGTGGTTAGCATGCCTGACTGCGGAGCCGATAGTTGCGGGTATGAATCCCGCTCAGGGCATGGATGTTTCTTTCTTCTGTGTGAATGTAACCTGCCCTATAAACGGGTTTGTGGTTGTGTGACGTGGGCGACGCTGCTCCACCGCCGTGGCTTAGCCACAGGTGCCCACTGGGTAACGAGAAAAGAGTAGCATTTCTGAGGCCAATGGGGAACTTGCCCCAAGTGCCCGCCATTAAAAAAAAAGATCTTGATGATATCTATCGAGATAGATCTTGCCCAAAAAATAGCCTTATAAATAGTTTATATAGATGAGCAGGCAATATAATGCTCAATATGAAGATAACGAATGGCATTTTAAAATCTATAAAATAAAACTATTAATAAATTTATAAAACTATACATTATTTTAAATATATATTAGAAATTATGCTGAAATAAATATTATATTATTACTACAAATTTTGATCTGAGGTTAAATTGCTCTGTAATCTGCATCAAATAATTTTGCAAATCTTAAAAATTAAGAATTTTGTAACCATAAAATAATCTGTTGAACATTTGGAAAAAATAGAATTATTTGGGCGAGATTAATTGCTTAAAACTATATGAAGTCAACATTCCCATCTTTAGTTGACATCTTTTTTAACACATGACATCTGGTGCCAGTGGCGTACGCAGAATTTTTTCAAGGGGGTGTTCATAATTTTCTGAAACTACTAAAAGAAATTCGAGTCTGTAATAAAGCACTATTATTTCCCTAATTTAGACTGCTAGACAATTTTGACTTTTTATTTAGACAACATTGTTTAGTTTTCGATTTGATTTTTTAAGTTTAAAAACATAATGATGTCATATGGGTGGGAAGTAACACTTTGAGAGCCACTTTCACATTCATCAGATTTTGTTATGCTAGAAACGTTTTCTTCAACGGAAGTATCACATTTCATTTCTGTACAACAGAAAAACTTACATTGGTACTAGATGCTGTCACCTCACTAATTTCAGGTCGTGATTTTTTCTCAAAATAATTAAACAATTTTAAATTCTTGCGCTTTAACACCCTAAAGATCCAAGAGCAGCAAATATATATATATACATATATTGGCACAGAGATATCCGCTCTGCTATGATCTCAAAATTTCGAGCTGGAATGAATAACTTCGACGAGCACAGTATCTCCAATGGTACTGTTACTGATTTTTTTCACTAGTCGAAATAGTGGCGACGACGGGTTCTGCGATTGAATGAACTTTTTGTTAAAGACAGATTTAGCGACAAGCTCCGAAAGACAAGCGGCAGAGATAACTCTTAGTCTGACTAACTAACTCCACTATACTCCCTCCGTTCACCCTTTTATATAATTTTTCACCACATCTCCAAAATTCTCAAATTGTCTCTAAGACGACAGAACGTCTAGGATTCCAGAATCATCGCGTTAAGACCTCACGAATGACAGCTAGCCTCGAAAACTATACTGGCAGGACAGAAAGGAACCAGTCCGTAACAGTATCACGTGAATTTGGTTTCAAAAGTACCACCCTTTTATGTGTAGTAAATGTTTTTACAGTATTCTGAGAAATACAGTGAGAAAAAAAAAGTATATAGTCTTAAAAAATAATAGTTCGCATAATTTCTACTAAAATTTTTATTTTTGCCATTTTGTCTGAGCTCAAGGGGGGTGTTTAAGCCCCTCCCTTGCGTACGCCACTGTCTGGTGCGTATACAATCGATATATTTACAATTATTTAAATAATTAAAATTTTAAATGTATGATTTGTTTTTCAATTTTAAAAATTTTGGAATAATTTGTTCAGATTATGACATTTGCCTTTAAAAAAATTTATCTTCCTCACCATATCCCCGCCGATGATTCTCTCTATTATCGGCAGATGGCAGCAGAATACTAGTCTTTTATAACTTCTAAATAATATGAATGTGTTGATTTACGCTTATCTGAGCTAAAAACTTATTTTATGCAATTTCACCTAAAGTTTTTATTAAAAAAAATTCTATTCAGTGGTTTAAGTTATCGATAATATGTTATGAAGGGGGGAAAGAGATAAAAGATGTAAATAAGGTTGAGAATGATATTAGCATAATCCCCTTGATCTTTGTGTAAATTAAAAGTAGGGGTTAAAAAACACCTTAGAATCTTAGAAACCGCAAGCAAGGCTTTATTATTAATTCGATTATCTGAAATTCATCTATACACACACACAAAAAAAAAAACTAATTTTTATTTGGAACGAAAGTAATGTATTCTTTCTTATTGAATAAATGATCTTCAAACAGAACGTTTTATCAAAGCAGTTCGACAAACATTTTTTTTAAAAAATTCCTTTCATCTCTCTTTAAGGGAGGGAAACAAACTATTTTGAAAGTATCAATGTTGAGATAGGAGGATGACTTCCTTAGTATATTTGAACAGGCACAGGATCGACTATTATTAAAAATTAATTTTTGATTAGAATTATCTTTGGATAAGCGAATTTTATAATTGTGTTCAAAAAATTTTCAATTTCTCGAATTTAAATTTTTCTTAATTTGAATTACGCATAGAGTAAAATTTCCTTTTAACAGGTCTTCTAATCTAATCTTATTTTTAATAAATTATCTTTAGACCGCCCTCCTGACCAAACTATTAGTACCATATTTCTCAGTTTACAGCTATCCAATATAATTTGAGGGTAAGGAATCCATCCAAAGAAAAATGCATATTTATTCAGAGAAAGTACGGTTTTTGTGGCAGATTTCGTAACTTAAAATATCGTAACATAAATAGCACAGATTAATTTGCGTATTTGAGGTTACCTCTTTGAACCATTGCGTCCTTGTGTATGAAAATCCGATCAGTAAATCAAAAGTCATTCAGAGCAGTGTTTTTTTATCGCATTGTTCTTTCTATTGAAGATAACATTTTCAGAAGACGATGTTCTGAATTACCTGCAAGGCTCAAAACTAAGAATGGCTTGCTCAGGAGGCACCCTATTATTTCCTTCCTTGAGTGACTCCTTCACATTATCTTTTTAATTTATCCTAGGCGTTGAACAGACGATCTACTTATCGCATATTAAATCTTTAATCTTGATATCTATTTTAAACCAGTTCTCCGGAAAAGAATAGCACTGAAATACTTAATTCAAGGCCTGGTTCTTTTGTCTATTTCACAAGAGTTTTGAGGACACAACTGTTGAGGGTTCATAGTTAGTCGTAATTTTGACCCAAAACGTACACCCTGTTTGGACCATTAAAAACATTTTTTGTAAAATTTAAGGGCTTCAAATTTGGGACTTTCAGGCCCAGTGGCGTACGCAGAATTGTTTCAAGGGGGGTGTTCGTAATTTTTTGAAACTACTAAAAGAAATTCGAGTATGTAATAAAGCACTATTATTTCCCTAATTTAGACAGCTAGACAATTTTGACTTTTTATTTAGACAGCATTGTTTAGTTAAATTTTGATTTGCTTTTTTAAGTTTAAGATCATAATGTAATATCTTCTTGCATGTAATATCTTCTGAAAAAAGTCCAATGTAATATGGGTGGGAAGTAACACTTTGAGGACCACTTTTACTTTTATCAGATTTTGTTATGCTAGAAACATTTTCTTCAACGGGAGTATCACATTTATGTACAACAGAAAAACTTATATTGGTATTAGATGCTGTCACCTCACTAATTTCAGGGTCCCGCAGTGAACTGATCGTTAAGACACGATTACCAGCAGATCACCGAAGTCAAGCATCACTGGCTGCGGTCAGTGTGCGGGTGGGTGACCACTTGGATCAGTCTGCGTAGGGACCGAGGGTGTGCGGTATTGGTCCTCGTTAAACTGTGCTACCGTAAAGTGCTCGACATCGCGCGCAGGTCGTCGGGCTACAGAAGAAGGGGTGCCATCCCCTCCGCAGAGGATCAAAATTGCGATGGCATGTCTTCGGATCATCTTCAGGGATGTTTCCCAGACCGTCGCCATTAGCCCATTGTGCAGCTTTAGTGCGACGTAAATTAACAACAGCAACACTAATTTCAGGTCGTGATTTTTTCTCAAAATGATTAGAAATTGCTAAATTCTTGCGTTTTGACATCCTAAAGATCAAGATCTGGGCCAAGATATATATATATCANATATTGGCACAGAAATATCCGCTATGCTACGATCTCAAAGTTTCGAGCTGGAATGAATAACTCCAACGAGTACAGTATCTCCAAAGGTATATTGTTACTGATTTCTTCACTAGTCGAAATAGTGGCGACGACGGGTTCGGCGATTGAATGAACTTTTTGTTAAGACAAAACAAAACAGATTTAGCGATAAGTGGCAGAGATAACTCTTAGTCTGACTAACTAACTGCACTAGCTAACTATTCACGTTTTATCAGAGTACCTATCCAGTGTTGAATATCTACGCTTTTATCACAATAGAAAAATAAATTGGAGGATGGGAAGGGGGTGCTGCGTTAACAGTAAGTTAAATCTCATAATGTACAACAGTTGACAATCAAAATTCAAATCTGGGTTATACATAACAATAAAATCGCAATTTGATACATAGTAATAAAGTAATAGAAACAATTGAAGGTAAAAGAAAATTATTTACACTATATACAAGTACTAACTCCACTGTACTCAGTTCCCCCTTTTATATAATTTTTCACCGCATCTCCAAAATTCCCGAATTGTCTCAAAGACGACAGAACGGCTAGGATTCCAGAATCATCGCGTAAAGACCTCGCGAATGACAGAAAGTCTCGAAAACTATCGCGAAAGGCAGGACAGAAAGGAACCAGTCCGTATCAGTATCACGTGAATTTGGTTTCAAAAGTACAATCCTATTATAGTAAATGTTTTCTCAGTATTCTGAGAAATACCGTGAGGAAAAAAAAGTAGGCATAAGGCAAATAAAAATATGTAGATGTACTACTGTAGATGTACTAGATATGTACTAAAATTTTTATTTTTTCCATTTTGTCTGAGCTCAAGGGGGGTGTTTAGACCCCTAAACCCCTCCCTTGCGTACGCCATCAGGCCTTATGATAAATCAGGAAATGCATAAAAACTACTGACATCACCGTTCTCATGAAATCTTTTCGTGGGAAAATAAATTTGATTTACGTTTCAAAGAAAGACAAAGCACGAAAACAGTCTACAGTTAGCCTGACAGTAATACGGTTTGTGAAATCCTGGAATAATTTAAACTATAGCCATCATTATGGGAAGAACTTGGGACGTTTGTCTTGTGTCAGACAGGTAGGTACTTCAATTATCTAGCTCTAGAGCTTCACAATGAGCTAATGGCGATGATCTGGAAAAAATCCCTGCGGATGATCCGAGGACATGTTATCACAATTTTGATCCTTTGCGGAGGGTTGGCTTCCCTTTTCGAGTGAATTTGAGCACTTTACCGTAGAACAGTTAAATGGAGACCGAGATCGTGCACCCTCAGTCCATCTCTTACTGACCACAGCCAGTGATGCTTGACTTCAGTGTTCTACTGGAACAGTGTCTTGACAACCAGTCAACTGCGGGACGTTTGCATCAGAAGCGTGCATAAGAAAACTGCATCAAAAATAATTTGCTGCGCTGGGGAGGAAAATTCATATTAGTGAAACTTTACCTTTTAACGAAGTTAGAATAATGATTTAACTGTAACCAATTGAGTAAATTCTATTGTAAACAAACAAAATCCCATGCCGGACGTTAGCAGCCTGTTTTGTAATTTTCTTTAGTGAATACTTAATTTTCGCTTCAATTCCAATATGAGGTTCATTGAAAAAATATCCAGTATCGGTCGATCAGGCTGTATTACTGATTTTCCAAAACCTTGGTCAACAGAACAATTTAAAACCCCTACAATGCTGATATACGCTCGCGCAGGTTCAGTGCCGCATTTAACTTATAACTCATTACAAAGGTTAGATGATAAGAAATTACTTTTCTTGCAAACATTGCCGACTGTTGTTGAATTTAAAGACGCTGTCGAGCTTCAAGGGAAAGGGTTAGGTGCTTTTGCCGGACTGCCCGAGTATCCATTTCATTTATCAATCCAAGATCCGGCTGATGAAACTCCTACAGGTTATAATGTAAACAAAGGTGTATCAGTTTGGTGCACGGGCGGTAAAAAGATGATTTCGGTTTCGGAATTTATGAAGATCATAAAAGCATTCCAGCCTGTCTCATACCAGGCTCTATGTGATAGCGATACGCCAAAAGATTGCTCCAAGAAACGTTTAAATAAATCTGTTGATAATACAATAAAATTTTTAGATGAATGTTTAGAGGAGCATTCACAGTGTGAGGAAGTTAAAAATGTTGCTATATGGGGAACAATTGAAGGAGGTTATGATTCCTTCTTAAGAAAAAAATCTGCTGAAGCTACAGTTAAGCGTGCAGTGGATGGCTTCGTAATTGACGGGTTTCATACAAACGGCGCTACATTGGAAAGTTTAAACTTTTCTAAAGTAAAACCTTTGTTGAAAGAAGTGATTGATATTTTACCAGCTAATAAACCCAGACTTTTAAATGGACCACTTGATGCAGAAATGATGATTGAAGCTATTAAAATGGGTGTAGATATATTCGATTCTTCTCATGCTTTCAAATTAGCAGAGGATGGAGATGCTACTGTGTTTCCTTTAGAATCTATTCCACATCATTTTGAAAAAGATTCAAATGATATTGCAACTAAACGCTTTAAGTGTACTCCTGAACTATCTTTGAAAGAGGAAATGTACAAAGATGACTTGACCCCAATATTGAGCACTTGTACTTGTTATACTTGTAAACATTATACCCGTGCATACATACATCACCTTTTGGATACTACTGAATTGTTAGCTCAAATTCTTTTAATGATTCATAATTTACATCATTATTCAGAATTTTTTAAAACTATAAGACATGTGTTAGGGAATTGATTTTATTTTGTTTTATATTGATAAAAATATTTTTATAGCGCTTACATGATTTATAGATTTTTTATCACTCAAGCTTTAAAATTTTGAATGTCAAAAATTTTTTATTAATCAAATTTTCTTCATTTTACAAAATATCGGATCAAATTGGAATTTTCTTTTTACAAATATTTTGGGTTTATTATTTTTTAAATTCTAAATGCTGCTACAAATATACTAGGTGGTTATTTGTAAAATGTTAACCTTTTGAGCTTTATTATGTTGGTACTATTATTTTTTCTATTTTACTATTAGAAATATATTTATAGCAAACTATGAAGATTCTAGAAATAAAATTTTATTTACAGAAAGAATAATTTCTTTTGAAACCAAGTGTAAAAATATTTTGATTGAATAAAATTTTTTAAGAAATCAATAATCCTTTTATAAAAATTATTACAATTATAATGAAAACTTAGCGATATTTTCCCTAGTAGTTGCCAGTTTGTTGGTTAAAAATTTAAATAGATGAACTAGTAACTTTTAAATAACAAAAAATTTATTATTCCATGTAATTTTAAAGTATTTTTTACATAATTGATGTTTGTTTCGAATTGTTTCTGCTTAGACATCAAGTGAAATTTTACCTTCAAATTTTGTTACATAAAAAATATAATTTCTACCCTAAAATTTGAAGCAAGGCTTTGTTCTCAGAAGAATCAATTCAAAATTTATTTAGTAAGAAATAAAAGATCTCATACCTAACTATAACTAAAATATTTCAATTAACACAGAATTTACGAGTAAGAAATCAAAATGCAATTTTGCAATACATTTATTTTTCTTGGAACTGAAATTTTTATTTAGATTTTCTATTATTGTAACAATAAATTAGTTTAATAAAATGTAAATAATTTTTGAAACAAAAGTAATTTAAACAGAAATAATAAAACTACTACAAAGTAAAACAGTTTTCATATACTTTTATTACGAAAAATTTTATTGCAAGTAAAAATTGTGGCACTTTATAAAAATACAAGAGGAACTCTATACATTTTTTGAGCATAAAAGTGAGATTACATTTTCTGTATAAAAATAGATGGGCTCTATTACATTATTCTATAGCAGCTCCATATTTATTACAAGATAACTTTATTTGTCTGTTAACCATTTTGGAAAGTAAGATGATTATATTTTCTGAATTAAAATAGATGAAGCTCCACCTCCTCCATTGCATATTGCAGCAGCCCCATACTGATTGCTGGTTAATGTATGGGCCATATGGTTCACAATCCGTGTGCCAGACATTCTAGAAAAAAAATTAACACTGAATAATTAATAATTGGGTAATTTTATCATACTATTTAAATATTAATCAGTATTAAACATAAAACTAGAGGAATATTTTTATCATTTAGTATTTAAAATTGTAGAACATTTAGAATGTAAAATCCTCTAATCGAAATTTTATTAAGACACATGTTTTATTAAAATGATCCACAGTTAAAAAATACAAACAACTATTACACTGTTATGAGGACTAATAAATATACTTTTTATGCCTTAACTTTTTTTAAAGAAATTCAAATAATCTTTTATATTTTGGAACAGTAATTTCATCATTTTTTTTTTCAAAATCACATATAAACGAAATAAATTTTGTTAGTATCATACTATTTTGATAATAATATAAAGAGTTATCCTTTACCCAATAGGATGGCCAAGACTGACAGCTCCACCATGTATGTTTACTTTAGTTGGATCTAAATCTAGCATTTTTATATTGGCGAGTACGACTACACTAAATGCTTCGTTTATTTCCCACATTGAAATATCCTCCTTCTTAATTCCAGTTTGCTTCAAAAGCTGTAAATAATATTAAAAAAAAAAGGAAATAGTCATATTTAAATTAGAGAAAGAGAGGGGTAAACAATTTTTACATTATAATATATGAATAAAAATGTTACTAATCTAAGTATCGATTTACAAATATGTTTTAAGGCATTTTGGAATAGTATATTACTCATTAAGTGAAAAAACTTAAAAAAGAAACTTAATTAAGAGAAAAATCACATATGAGGTAATGCGTCCAGTCTAAAACCACTTATTTATAACATATTAAAGTACCAAAAATGCATAATTATATGCTTCTTCTTTATGTTAACTATATTTCTTAACCAGTATTTTTTGCACAACATAGAGCTGAAGTATGCATCTTCATATAGAATGCGGCACTCTTTATTAGTTTATTATATCATCTGACTTAGGGTTGTTAAAGGTTTGATTAATTAGCTGTCATATAAATAATTTATATAATAAAGGTGTGTTTAATTAACTATTCAATGTTAAAATACTTATGCAGTAAAATAAAATATATACTATTGTTAAAAATAACTATTATAAAGATTAAAGACATAAATGCTTTTATTATTAGCAAAGTAAATCTGAAAAAATGAATGTACATCAGATTACCTTTGGAATAGCAGCTGCTGGGGAAATCGGAAAATCAATAGGTTCTACCGCAGCGTCTGCAAAACCTGGGGTAAAATGTGTCTTATATAGATATATATTTTAATAGAATACATATTACATTTTTACGTAGTATATAGGGATGTATTATAAATGTTATGTTTTAACATTAAAAGTATGAAATATATTATTAGAATGCGCAATTAAGTGATTTTAAAATTTGTTGCATTCCTTTCTCTCACAAATATTAATTTTGTTGTAATAGAAATAAATCATGTTTGTAAAAATAGCAGCTCGAATAGCAGCTACACAATTCTATAATCACATTTATGAGAAAATTCTAATTCATTATATCAATCGTTACTAAAGAATAAGCAATACAAGCACTGTTAATTTCTATTCTACAGTTAAAGTGCAAAACAAATGTCTTGAATTTATTAACAAATTTCCTAGTAATTGCAGCTTTTGCTTTCATACTAGCTATTATAAACTTGAGAAATTTATTCTAAAATTTGTAAACGGAAACGTAAAGTTTTAGTATTAAAAAATTCTTATTTTATGATTTTCTAGGCAACAAAGTAGATTTATTGCAGTAATTTCTCATCAATATGGCAAATAAGAGATGCGCTATCATTTGAGCTCACCAATGATTCTTGCCAAAGGCTTGATATTCAGTTCCTGAGCTGTTTTGGCACTCATAAGCACACAAGCCGCAGCACCATCATTAATAGTACTGGCATTTGCTGCTGTTATTGTTCCTGAAAATAAATTTTCTTACATATTAATTAAGAATAATTTTTTTTAACATATAGTTTTATTAGTAGTCAATCCATAGAATATAGGCAACAAATACAAAAAGTGAGAATATGAATACATAAACAATAGGAATATACAATATTTAAAATACGTGAACAATAAATGAGAACAGTGAATATTAAGGATAACAAAATTAAACTGAACTTAAGTAAAAAGTGTCAAACAAATGGAGGAACAAAAGTCTTATGTTTTTTAAGCTTAAAAAGTCTCTAGCAATGAGTTACAATCATTCTTGTGTAGTGTCTTTTTTATTATTATTTTTATCAATCTTATATGCTTATTTTAGTATATTATTCTCTTAACTAAGAAAAAATTTACTGAAATAACAAATATATTTGTGGACAGAACTTTTAGCTAATATGTGATATAGCCTACATGTTCCCTAAGGAAAATTGTTGTTGGTTAGATTTAATTACAATGAACACAAACATTTGAACTAGTATCAATTTAAATTAATACAAATTTGGGTACATTAGATATTGATATAGATAGTGGTATGATTGTAAAAAGCTATTTAAAATTTCCAAATTTGTAACAATCTGAATGAAAAATGTCTTTTTCCTTAGTTTGAACCAAGATGTTTTGTGATTTCATAATTATAAAAGTATACAATACAGATAAATGCTTAAATTTAATACTGAGCTAAAGTGTTAATAAGGAACTATTAATCCTTGTTGGTCATAATACATATGACACGAATGGACTTAAAACAATAATAGATCATAAAGTGTTAAATATTTTGTGAGAAAAACAATACTAGACGATATAATGTCAAATCTTAACAATATCTTTATGAGACAATAGAGTGATAATCTTCCATAATTTATTTTTCAGTATATGTGAGAAAAGCAAGTAAATTAATAAAACACCTCCAAAGAAAAATGCTTGTAACTTAAGCACAATATAAGTGCACACACAATGCATTAAAAATGAAAAGTCCTTAAAAAAGTTAAAATTGATAATGTCCTGTAAGATTTTTTTTACGTCTAATTTTCTGCAATATAATTCCAATCAAATATCATAATTAAGTATGCAAAGTTAATGTAATGGATACAGAGTTTAATGGCTCCTGAACCAACTTAAATGACTACATATTCAAGGTAATAAAAATTTTATTACAATTATAATTAAAAATTTACTTCCATAGAAAAAAAAAGAAGGCAAAAATACTTTGGTTTTTAAAACTTTAATTTTACCTGAACAAGATGAACAGATCTGAGATTTAAAACATAAGAGGATTCGTTTCTATTATTGATTAAGAGGTTAAAGAGAAATAATAGAGATAGTGACTTTAATGTAGACTTTAAGTTTGGAAAATTTATTAGTAGGAATGAGTTGAAAAATTTAATTTTAATAACAAAATTATGAAAAATCTGTTTATGATATAGTCAAAATTACCATTTTCTTTTTGAAAGACAGTTGGTAGAGAAGGAACTTTACTAAAGTTAACCCGTTTATATTCTTCATCAGTGTCAACGACAACATCAGGTTTTCCTTTCCTACCAGGAATCGTCACTGGAATAATTTCTTTCACGAATACCCCATCCTAGAACAAGAACTACTTTTAACAATTTATCGTAAAAATTAAAACCAATTGTCAATTTAAATAGAAGTATTGGAATATATGTAAATTATAAAAACTGGCTTCAAGATATTATTAAAAATCAAATTCAAAAGAGTTCAAAAATTGAAAATTTTCTAGTTGACAAAAAATATTTATTAAATCATTACTTTTTTGAAACTGAAAAAAGGGTACTGAAATTAACACTTCAGATAGCACATAAATTTTAAAACAAAAGAAGTTACTTGAATAAGTAAATAAATATATTTAAATAATAATATGCACCAATTTATATGTGCTATAATCATATATATTTTAATTTAAAAGTATGTATCTGCAGCATTAGCTAAATTAATAGATTTTCTAGTTAGAGAAATAAAAACTTTTTTTTAAAGTAGGAAATTTGTAGTTACTAATGAAAAATATAAAACCCTAAAACCTCTATTTTGGAATAAGAGAGTTCTTACTTCTACAGCTTTAGCAGTCTTTTTATAACTATTTATAGCAAATTCATCTTGTTCTTGTCTTGAAATTCCCATCTTTTTAGCTGTATTTTCTCCACAAACACCCTACAATTAATAATTCACATGGTAAGTTACATAATATGAAGCTACTAAACAGTTAAGTTTGCAAGATTCTGTTAAAAATTTTCTCTAAAAATTTTGATAATTGTTATGCAAATAATCCTGTCTTGTTTAATTAAATACAAATTATTAACATTAAATACAATTATTAACATTAACATACAAATTATTAACAGTCAACAAAGTACTTTTTAGGCTAACTTTTCTCAAATTGAAAAAAAAAAGTTTTTTTTTTAAAAATCTATTAATTAAATTAGTAAGCATGCATAATCTAAAAACTGAATAATCTCTGTAGAGATAAACAAGATAAAATTTTACATTGCCACTTGCATTAAAATACTCATTATTATATTATAACAATATCTCATATGTTTGTATGCAGTTTAAATTTAAAAAATATTTTGGAAGCACAGCAGCTATAAAGTTATATCATACTTTGTGATTATATATACCATGTGTTACTTTATTAACTTTCCTAAACATTTAGAGTAAAAAAAAAAATTTCATAACTGATGATTATGAATTCAACATGCAGACAAAAATAAATGCATTTTAATTTTACATACCATATGAAACTTTTTATATGCATCAGTTAATCCATCATAAACAAGACTGTCCTAAAGAAAAAATAAATAAATACATTTTTAATGACAGAATGTAGAATTTAAAGACACGGGACTAAGAATCAGTTATACTATGTTATTTTTATTAATGCAGGCAACAAAATCAAGCAGTGTTATTAACTAAGCCCGATGAAAAAAAACAGAAGGAAAAAGAAATTATCACCTGTGTTTTACCTGAAAAAGGAAAACCATGACAAAATTTGTTATGAAATAAAAAAGAAATTTTATAACCAAATAATGCTGGCCAGATTATATACAGATTTTGATTAAGATTATATAAAGCTACAAACAAAATTTTAATAAGGAATCTACACAGTGCTTTATCACTTCAAGTAATAGAAAATATAAGTTATTTCTCAAATTCAATTGGGGCAATATTTGTAAAGTATTAATCAGTAAATTACATATGCAAATTGTAGCTCATTTGTTGCAAAAGGAACTTTTTTCATTTAATAGAAATTTAATTACAATTTTTTCTTTAAAACTATTCTATCTCTTTTACAAAAACAATAAACTATATTTTTAATCATTGGAAGCTGCTAACTTTTTTCCTAATTAAAAAGCCTCTTTAGTTGGTACTGATTTGTAGTTAAGGAGAATCTAAGAGAGTCATGCTGTGAATTTAACAAGAGAACAAAATATATCGACTGGTTCTAACAAAGATTTTAAAAAAAAATCTGTGTGTTACTGTCTGGTATATTTTCAAACACTTTTATTTTTTATTACAATATTATTCATATAAACGGAATTTTAAAGATTGTGAAAGAGCTCCTCTTACACTTATAAAATAGTACTTAATTTTAGTTTACTCGTTCAGTATGTTTCTTTAATAAATAATGCTTTATTTTATTGTAATTCCTTTTTTATATCACTGGAAATATTTTTTACATCATTACAGTATTTTCCTTCAATGAGTGTAACTGCATAGGTAAATCTCAAATCATTTCCATAAAATTAATATTTATAAAAATACAATACATGTTGTGACCTTGAAAAAGAACATTACCCTTAAAATTAGAAATTGACACCTAGTCATGTAAATTTAATGAATTTGTAAGAATGATTAAAATGTAGAAAAGTGAGATGATGCAAAAATAATTTTTTTTAATAAAATGGTGAGTATTTTTAATTGAGAATTTTTTAGAGCTTAACAGACAGTTTAAACAGACAAACAAGTATGGAATATTCCTCTCAGGTTAATAAATGTTAAACGAAAAAAATATTTCAGGAAATTGTTAAAAAATGAAGATAGTAACAACTATAATTATGAAGCACTTAAAAGTTTATAAATTTCGTTTTATATATTAAGGTGCATGCTTAATCTAATATTTATTTAATAGAGCAAAATATATCATTTTCAGAACTTATATCAATAATTAAATATTCTTGATTCAAGGCTTAAATCTTTTGCTACAATAACAATAGAAAAATATGAGAAGTTTAAACTTTCAAACATTTAAAGATTTTTATTTTCTACAAATGAATTCATACTAAAATCTATGAGTAAAACTAAATACAAACCAATAATGTTATTCCACCATAAGGTGTATCTCCTCTTAGCATATAAAATGGTGTGTTAGACATACTTTCCATACCGCCTGCAACCATAATATCCTAAAATTGAATGGTAAAGCCAATCAATAAAATAATAAATTAAATATTTAACAAAAAAGAAGTTAATAATAAAAAAATGACAGAACCACAGTTCACAATTGTTGAAAATAAAAATTTTAATTTAATAATGGTTTCATAAAATCTAAGTTAGTTACAATTTCAAACCTCAAAGACCTTTTTAAAGTAATGTTTGCTCAGTTAGTAAAAGGGAGGCTGGGTTCAGTAAAATGAGTTGAATTTGAAAAAGTTCAATTTTTTATTTTTTTTTAAAGGGAGACTTTGTTGGAACAACCCATTTTTGTGTAAAGTTGTGTACTTTACAATTTACTGAACTAGGTTTTTAATTTTTAATTAAAAAGGAAAAAATCATTATTTGTCATTTAAAAATAAACAAAGTAAACTTGATAAAGAAAGTTTTAAAATAAAATGCAGTTGACATGTTTTGAGAAACACATTAGTCAGTCTTCAATTAAACAAAAATTTTAAAGCTCTATTCATGCTTTAAAAGCCTGTTCATTGCATTTGAATTAATGTGCAGTGATTGTCATCTGCACATTAATTCCAATAGCCATCAGAAAAAGCTTGAGTTTTCATAAGATCTTTTATAAACGATTTTACATTTTCTAGTAATTTGGGCAGGTTGTATTTATTTAAATATATTTAAAATAAAAAATTTTCACACACAGAAATTTATTTTAATCAAATAAAACCATAAATATTTCTCTAAAATAAATTATTTTTTTATTTATTTATTTGGTTGAAATTGCAATTTTTGGCAGCAGATTGATTGGCATCCTCATTTAAAAGTTACTACGTAAACCAAATGTGCTTGTTTAGTACTCAAATGTAATATAAATATTACAAAAATAAATTGAGATTTTTGAGTTAATTATAAATCCGATTTAATCAAATTTAAAATTCATTTATTACGTATTTGAAACTTAAAAGTAATAAAATTTTAATCAGGAAAAAAAATATATACTTGGTGGCCAAGCATGATGCTTTGAGCAGCAAGCATTATGGATTTCATCCCAGAAGCACAGACTTTATTTATAGTTGAGCAAGGAGTTGATATTGCCAAACCTGTAAAAATTACAAGAGTTTATTCATAAATTAGAATTAATAATAAATCAGTATGATACCTCTTATAATATCTGAATAAAAAATAACATGTCTTATCCGTTGTACCTTATTTTTTTCCAACTTTTTTGTTCATACAATTTTCCTTTCAGTAAAAGCCTAAAAGGGAGTTCGATTGTTATTTTTAGTGCAAGAACTTATGACACTACTAGGCTTTTCCCATGTGTCATCATTTTTCCGCACCACTAACAAGAATAGAGAGTGATAAAAACCTTTAAAAACAGAGAGAAAGTTACAAAGAAATCATTTTATATTTTAAAAATAGTTGACATGTCCATAGTTTTTTCTTTGGATTTAAAGCTTTTTATAACACTCTTGTTTTTTTAGTGGTCAGAAAAATGGTGACACTTGGCAAAAACCTATTAGGGTAATGATTTCTTGTGATAAAAATATCATTCCAACTCTATTTTAGGTTGCTATATTAAGTTTACGTTAGTTTATATTAAGGTAGTCAGTTATTTAGGTTATTATTGTTGTTGTTATATTAAGTTGTTATTTTAGGTTAGGTTGTTAGGATTACATTTTGATACAAAAGAATTTTGCCATTTGAAAACTCAAATAGTATGCTTTTGAGAGGGTCATATTTTGGCAAGTTAGTTTAAAATTATCCTGTATATACTTTAATATATAATAATTTAATATATAATAATTTAATCTGAATTTTTTGGATTAGTTATTAGGTTTGTCAAATTGGTAACTTGGGTACTGATAATTTAAATTTACAACATAAATTATTATAGCAATATTTACCAGCTCCAAGAGCAGCTTGCCGTGCAGGTGCTTGGCCGGCACCAGCTTGTAGCACTTCACCCATATAAACTTCTTGAATTGACTCTTTAGGTATTCCTGAAGAAAAAAAATACTTATTTTAATTTAAATTTCTGCAGACAAAATTATTTCTCGTACAAGTGCATCAATTTTAATGCATAAACTTAGTAACAAAGTGAATTTGTTAAGTTTTATACAGTTGTTTTTCATAAATTCACAACTGAATCAAAATTTGTTTATAATATGATGATGAATTGATTTATAATATGCTGATGACATATTATAAATCAAATCTTCTGCATCAGTTTTTTTTCTCTCTTAACTTTTCAACCAGTATTTATTATGCAGAAAACAAAGCAATTATCTTTTCCTTTTAACTTAACGTTTAATCAAATCAATTTTTATAAAACAGCATGAGGATTTGAATTATTATGAACAATTATTATTATTACAAGGTCTAGACTTTAACAAGTCTCTCAATTTTTTTTTAAATATTAATAATTATAATGATTTTACATAGTGTTTATATATCAATACACAGCTTTTGATACATCAGTTATAAAAAATAAATAATAATTTAATGGCCCCAATTCCTCTTAAAGGTAATTAAACTATTGAAGAAACATTTAATTGCTTAATATGTACTTTCAGTCAATTTTAGCTGGTTTCTCAACAACTTTATTAAAAAGACTGTCTGTTTTTATACTTGTCACTCATTTCAGTAGATTAAGAGAAATAATTCTCACAAAGAAATCACGCAAAGATTCTGTGTTAAAAGTAAAGAAATAATGAAGGACGAATTATTTTACACTTTATTCATTTACATGATTTTCTTTAAGTTTCAACAGATTAAAACCTAAGATGAAGAGAGCAATAAGAAATTAATTAGACAGATATGATACAAAATTTTAATGTAAATTAAAATATCATAAATAAACTTCTAACTGAACATGAAAATTTTACTACCTGTAACATATTTTCAGATTTTTAAAGTGATACCTTTGATCTTAACGCAAATTGGTAAACCTGTCAAAATTTTTTGTGCTCAGACAGAAAAATATAGCAAGTGCTTTTAGTTCTATATCCTGTTGGCATATTCTGTTGTCCGGGTTCGGTTTAAAAAAATTTCAGCTACAAAAAAAGCTTAGTAACTTTCAAATCAAATTGAGTTTATCATATGCTGTGATAAAAATATTTTGTTTGTTTGTCGTCAAAATATTTTAAAAGCGTTATTTGTTTTAAAATGTTTCAAAAATTGGAAAACTATTTCAAGAATTTGAAATATATTTTTCTTTTATAGAGGTCATTTAGCTTGCTGCTAAACTTATTATTTTTTTCTGAAATTAAATCATGTGCTATTCATTATTAGTAATGAAACTATAATTGTTCTTTACTATAACTTTAGCAAAATAAAGTTAAATTTTTTCATATACCTGCATGCTTAACAGCACCTTCAACTGCAATTGCACCTAATCTAGGAGCAGTCAGAGCTGCTAATGAACTGCGGAAAGACCCTATAGGTGTTCTTACAGCAGACACGATTACTACTTCCTATAAAAGTAAATTTAAACACATAGATGAAACTTCAAACAAATATAATAGTCTTACTTAATACTCGCTAAATTTTAAGTAGCCCTACAGAACAATATACAACAGAATCTTGATTTGGATATTCATCCAAATATCTTTATTAACACAATCACTTCCCAGTTTGTTTATTTTTTAAGGCTTTTTTTTAAAATCATTTTCTCCACTTTTTGAAATAATATACTGTGATAAAACAGTGCCACTAATTCCAGACTTTTCCCATATTTATAGATAATTATAATTGATTTTGAAAGTACTGTACTCTAGCAGGGTTGCCATTCTAATTTGGAAAAAAAATTCCCTGTGTTTTCCCTGAACATATTATACATAACATATTAAGAGGAAACACACTATCACTGCACTTTAGTGTGAGCTATATTGCACTAACTATAAATTTAATTACAAGAAAAATTCAGCGAAAAAATGTACTGCTGAACATATTTAAAACAAATAATGCTAAAGTAAATTAAATAGTTTAGTATAGCTGAAAAATCATCCTTAAATATGCCACAGATTGCACTTGAGTGGTGACCATTTTTTAAAAGACGAGAATAAAAACGAAATTTCCTGTATTTTCTCAGTTTGTAAAGAAAAACTAAAAATTCTCTGTTATATTAGGTGATTTTTAAATTTCCTGTATTTTCCAGGTTTTCCCCGTTCTCCCTGTGGAGTGGCAATCCTGTCTAGATAGTAATGCAAATTTATTTATTTATTAGTAATGCAATATTTTTTATGCCTTCGAATCACACCCCAGCATATCTATAGTATAGGTAAAGGTTTTATAAAAGTAACATGAAAAACTTCTGGGTTCAAAAGAACTGATAGCTTTCTGTAGGCAACAAATAAGCATTTAACTAGTTAGTAGAAGTTACTTTACTAACCAGTAAAGGTTACTACAGCAGAGAACCGATTATCCGGAACGATCAGGACCATCGCTATTCCGGATAACTGATTTTTCCGGTTTTCTGAATCACTACAAAAAGCCGTTCTTTTTATTGTTAAACCCAACTAAAAAAAATTTTTTTCTTTTGGAAATAATCTTAAAAAGAAAAAACTATGGAGTAATACACTAATGATTATTTCCAAGATGATGGTAAGGTAAACATCTTTCAAAAAAGAAAGAAAAGTCCTAAAATATTATGAGGAAAATTTTTTTTTTTTAAAAGTGGCGGGAAAATTTATCGAATTTCGCTCCGGTTTTTTGGTTTTCCGGTTTTCTGATTTCCGGATAACGGGTTCTGTACTGTACTTTAATTGTAAAGTAAATTTGTAAATTGTCTGTATTGTAAAGTAAATTTGTAATGTATTTATACATGTATTTCATATGGAATTATTCGTTATTAAAATTTGATAAGACCATTATTTTAAAAATAACTCATTTTTTCAAAGTTTATTACTAAATGATGAATCTCTACATGAATCACTGATGAATCTCAAGTAGATTCAGTTTCAATTATTTCAATTTGAATGACAACGATTCTACTATATTCTACTTAATAAAGGCTAAAAAGTATTGCAAGTAATGTGAATAAGATTTAGATTTTGTTTTGTAGCATTAAAGGAAAAAAATATGATAAAAGGTTTTTTTTTTTTTTTTGTAACAGCTATTTTTATTTAAAATCCAAACAAATAGAAATCCAAGCATTCAAGAATTTATAAAATTTTTTCCTCATTAGCATGTTAATGGGGGTCAGCATATCACTCACTATATGTCAACATAACAATAGGAAATATCTTTTTAAACCCTATAAAAATATCAAACTTAAACAAATTTCTAATTGCATAAATAATTTATTTTGATAAGTTTTTGGTTTTTAAATAAAATAATTTTTAATAAATATACATTAATGGAAATGAAACCTTACCACAGTAAGAGAACAGTGAAACTTTATCCATCCTTACAGTCATTATAGACAAGAAAACATTCAATAACAAATGCAATTTTTTTTTTTTATATATAACAAAACAGATCTAGATAGTAATTTTAAAAAATACGTACAAGTTAGGTTCAACATGATATTTCAATATGAAAAACACAATGGAAGTTATGCACAAGGCATTATTTGCAATTTAAATAGTAATAAAAAATGGGCAATAATTGGTAGACACAATGAATTTATTGTCATTTAATTTCTTCAAATTATCTTTTAATTAACAAAATTAGTTTAAAACAAAAAAGTCATATTTTATAAAAATTAATGGTCATTTTAGAACTTTGTTTTTAAGATCTAAGCATGTATAAAATATAAATCTAACTTTTGAGCATGAGAGAGAATATTTTTGCATTGGTACCTGTTAGTGCCAACTACAATGCCAAGATGTGAAAAAGCTTTTGAATTTGCAAACATTTGGTAAGAAAATTAAAAAATAAAATGCTGCAGTTTGAATTGGTTTCCTTCTGTGATGCTTTCCTTTATTTTTTTGTATGCTACTGCCCAGATCTCACCAATACTTGGCAATTATTTTGATGCAGATACAGAAAAATTTCTATGAGCACTAGAATTTAAACACGATTTGAAAATTAATTAACACATCTTATCAATCAATTGATACTATTAAAATAATCAATAATTTTCTTTTGACAATGAGCCAAAATACACAAAATTTGTTAAAAAAATTAGTTTTAAAGTTATTAAAAATATTAATTCATGTTAAAAAACTAAGATTTACATACTTTACAAAAATGAATTTAGATTTTGGAAAAATAGTTTCAATTACCAATGCAAATTAGATTTTTGTTACTATACAATTTATTCCTATACTTCACATTTGATTTATTAAATATAAATTAGATTAAAAAAAACTTTGGAAATGTCTACTTACATTATGTAAATTTCGTATACTATTTAGTTGACTATTCAAATTTCCAAAACATCTTGAATGTATCTAAAATGAAGGGAAAAAATGTATTGAAAAGTAAGGTTTTAAAGATCTTACTAAATAAAGCATCTAAATAAATTCGAAAACTGTAAAACAAATTTAATGAAATGTAATTTTATGTAAATTTCACAATATTCATAATTTCCATAAATTTTTTATTCATAACTAGTATATAGTTGGACAAATCTTTAACCAAGAATTTTTAAACTGGTTTAGCTGAAGTGCTGAGAACTTTTCAAACCCAAGTACCATTTAGTAAATTAAGTTACAAGAAAGCAGGAGAGGTTGGCCTTTATAAACTATAAAAGCTGGTCTATTGCTTATTTGCAATTATTTATTTTATTTGCTGCTAATTTATGTTTTGCATGTTTAAGCTTTGAATTATACAGACACTTTTAAATTAAAAACTTACTGATTATAAGTATAAGCTGTATAGTCTACTAAAAGTTACTCTTTTGAAGTTTTGAAACAAGATTAATAAAATTAATTTAATGAATTTAAAACAGACGTTAAAAATTTCCTTATAACAGTTTCCTTGCTCCAACTTTGTTCTTAAAAACATTGATAATAACGCTGGGTAAATTTGCTATTGTGACACAATTGTGCCTGAACTATTTGCAAGAGTTGTCCAATAAATTTTTAGATAAGTCACCATAAGAGAAGAAATTAAAATGATATAATATTAAAAAAAAATATCAAGAATATAATTCTTTCGCAGATTACTTTTGGGTAAACTTTACTCATTAGTTGCCTCATATTTAATCAAATATTAAATTAATAAATGACAAACAATTTAATCAATTTCCGTGAGTGTCTTTGCCCTTTTAGGTCAATTACTGCAGCCCCCCCCGTTTCAGTTTTGTTTACATAAAGAAGTTCAAGAAAGCGATAAGCTTTGAAATTAATTTAAGTATTAGCATATAGCTTTATAAGAAATATTCATGAAATTTTGTATTTGTAGAAAACTTTATATGCATCTTAGAACAATTTCTACTCTATATTATGCTTATTATTATTACTTTTAAGTACTTTGAGATTTAATTAACAGGTAAAGAACTCAAAAGGTGTATCAGTGGCAAGAAAGAGTCCATAATTCCAAAATTCGTACTAAATTATAATTCCGATCGTCTGATCTAAACGCGTTTTCTCAGTTGTTTTAAATTTACAAGCTATTCAAAATTAAAGCGATCTGTATAAGGTTGAAAAAGTATAAACAGTTGTTAACATCGATTTTTTTCAAACTTCCAATTTGGCAATTCTTATATTTGTTTACGTTGAAGCATCATTTCTGATTGTGAGAATCAAATACTCACTTTTTAAAAAAATATAAAATATCACTGCACGAATTTTACTGTATTTTTTTTTAATAATTTATCAATTCAACTAACTGTGGATAATTAAATTTGCTACACTATTTGTGTCGCAAATTTAATTATGCGAGAATTTTAAAATTGACAAGAATTTAATAACGTATTGTCCATTTGATATTATTTCTTATTTAGTTATTCTTATTTCCATCTTTGTATTGTTTTAAGAATTTTATAAAATTAGTGAAAAAAATAGGGGTATCTAAATAATTTTAATAAAAACGACCATGATAAATGCGTTTTTTAAAATGCTTTCATTTCTTTTTTGATTAAAATGAAATGCTTTTCTTCAGGTTTCCTTAACTATTTTTATTTTTCATGTATAATAAACTTTGGAAGTCTTTCCTCCTGTCTAGCTTAGTTGTTTCTTAATCCTAGAAAGTAAAACTGAACATATTCAAGTTCCTCAGATATTAATTTATTTATTGCTATAAAGTATTAAATCTGAAAAAAAAAAAAAAACTGATTAATTAATCATGTCATAATTATTGTGGTAATTAAAAAAAATCATAACTAGTTCAAAATTTTTAAAAATCCAAATTTTACAAAGTAACTTTAAATGGGATCGAATGTTTGTATCAAAAATATTTTTTTTCTTTAGAGAATATTTCTTCTAAACTACAGCATATTTTATACAACGTGGCTATTAACCCCCACTGATTATTTTTTAATCTTATTTTAGAAATTTTAATGTTTGTGAAGAAGACTTTTTCATTTGGAAGAATTCTTATCTTGCATGATAATGCAACAAGCTCAAGAAAATTCGTAAGTTCTGATAAAACTTATTAACAAAAAAAAAAAAATTTAATAATCTGTAAATTCTTAAAATTGCATAATTCAAATTCATAATCATAGTCTCTTTAATATAAAATAAATTTTAAAGAAAGACATTATAATGTGTAAAACTACAAATGTATAAAGTTAATAAAAATGAAGTTAAAAGTCATATAGTGTGTTTGGCTGATGTGGACCAAAGAATACCAATTTAACATGTAATGCAGAAGTTTGATAGCATTTTTTACTCTTTAAGTTTTAGAAAATTAAGCATTACAATTGTTTTAATGATAAAACATTATTTTAGGGTGATCAAATGAGTGGTAGTACTATTGTAGTGTAAAACAAATTGTGTATTTGATTGACTTAATTTATTCTTTTAACTTTTTTTTTGTAGAACATTTAATGATGATCTCATAAGCAGTGAGGAAGCCGAAGAATTGGAAAAAAAATACGTAAACCAGGTTAAAAAAGATTATATACTTATTACACTTATCATTTTATTTTCAAACTGTTTTAAATTTGTGAAAATAATAATAGATATTTTAACTATCAATAACTGTGCAAATTATGTGAAAGGTATTTGAATAAAGTTTGCTCTATATAAAGTAAAAAAGTTTTGTTACAGTTGTAATTTGATTACAAAAGATTGATCATAAATGATTTACTTCAAGCAGTGAATAATATTAAATTTTTTTTTGTAAAAACAATAAACTTAAATTTATTATATAATTAATTTTAATATATATTTATCTACATAGACAAATTACTTAATTTTATTACATACTTAACCCTTAGAGATACAATGAACATTAGTTTACATAATTATCTAACAAAGCATTGTTAAAAAAAAAAAAAAATTACAAATGTAAACATTAACTTATATTTTCATACCTATTATGTGTCAAAATCTTTATCACAAGTAAAAAAAATAGTTATAGTATTTACTTGAATTGTCTTCTATATTATTTCTGGTTTCACATTGGATAAAAAAATTTTTTATAGACATTTTGAACGATTTCAAAATTCTAACAAATTCCGAAATCGGTATTTAAATATATTTTCTGCTTTTAGTAATACTTTCTTTATATATTCAACAGTGAAGTTACAAAATTAGCTTAATATTTTGCATTCTCCCATATGGAAAAAAATTAGGACATTTTATAGGGTTTTGAATTTATAAAAAGAAACTCAAACAGAAACCTTTTTGATAACCTTTCTTTTTTTCAACATCACAGGTGTATGAGAAAATTGCGGATCATTTTTGCTCGACCCGATATAAAGCATGGCCTAAAGTGGCAGAATTTCTTCAAAACATTCCGCCTGGTTCTCTTATTTTTGATATTGGATGTGGAAATGGAAAAAATATGAATCACAGCATTGGATGTTACGAGGTACTCAGTTTACTATGTTAAATGTATATAAATTGTAACAGATTTTTATAAAGGGTACAATCAATTCTCAATAAACTGATTTAATTAAACACATAAGTTAAATGCCTCCGATTGAACATCTATATTAGAAACAAATGTTTGTATTTATCAACAATTAATGTTTCATTTTCTGTATATGTGAGTAATACTGTGGAATTTACTTAAATATATAGTCAAGATTTATGTAATATTTAAATCTAATTGTATTTTTCGAAGATTAATTAGCTAAAGCTGTATGATTAACTAATTTGAAAATATCTTTTATATTTTTATAATACTTATCAATATAATACTACAATCTTGTATTACACTTATACATTTCATGATTTAGCACTAAGCATATCAAAAGTAAAGTTATGATATAACTGAAAGTTGTCTTTTTGTGATTAATCTAGATAGATTGAAAATAACTGTAAACATTAACATACATTTTAGTTAAGATTTTATTATTTTTAGTTCAATTAAATTATGTACTACTGTTTTAAAATATATTTAAAAAATAGATTATATATTATAAAATTAAAATTATATGTTATTAAAATATATTATATTTCTTTAATTAAGCTTATAAAACATAATAAATAGAAGTAGAGAAAAATATATTGTTTCGATTTTATTAAAAAAATGTTGTAAACTTACTTCAATCTATTAAATCTCTTTTGTATTAATATATTATAGATTGGTTGTGATGCCTCATATAACTTATCAAAACATTGTTCTGGAAAAAGTGAAGTTTTAGTTGCAGATTGCTTAAAACTTCCTTTTCGAGATGATTGTGCTGATGTAGTTATCTGCATTGCTGTTATACATCACATGTCAACAAAGGTAATTTGTAACCATGATTATTGGTTTTTAATCAACTAGTAAACTAAAATGGGTGAAATTGTATTAATTTGAATTTATTTTAATTATATTTTGAAAATAAAACATACATGCCTGCATTAATTTGTTGTTTTTATATAATATCTTAGATGAGTTTGAAAAATTTTTTTGGAGTATGTTTGATAAGTACGTTTATTTAGTCCAATGTACACATCAGCACAAAATTGGATAAATACACCAGCTATTAATATCAGCAATAGGATCTTTAATGTTGATGATTCTTAGTTTATATACAAGAGAAAAAATGTCTTTAAACTCAAATTTGTATGAAGTCTGAGCGATTTGGAAACTGATTTTCAGATAATAAGGTAAAACAATCAAGTTGTTAAAGTTTGAGTAAGAGAGTTTGGTGCATTGGTAGATTAATTTTCTATAGATGGAATCAATAATATCACAAAGAAAACTGCAGTCTACAGTGATAGCTTTAGAGTAAAGGAGCTCTTCATTGAGAAGATAACTATTTCAACAAATTTCACTTCAAACAACACTTCAAGGCAGCTATATTTTGCTTGAGGGGATGTGATAAAAGATTGTGAGGGAGGTGGTGAAACTGCAAATGGTTTACGATACTCAGTAGTAAGAATTCACAATTGAGGTTAATAAGAATGCGTAAAAAAGGTTAACACTTATTATTTTCCTGTTTCAAAGTGTATGGCATGTAAGAAACTATAGAATTCATAATATTGATAACACGATTTATGTCAGCAATGTGAAATAATCATTGACATATTGTCTACAAAAAGGAGCATTAATAAATCAAACAGTTTCACTTCAAAGTAGTCCATATACAGGTCACTTAAGATTTCAGAGGATTACGCATAGCTAAGCCATCAACCATTCGATAAAATGTACCATTAAAAGGTGGGCAGTTTTAAACAAATGTAAGCAAGATTTATTAGTTTGTTGCTTTCAACTTGACTAAAGTAGAACTCTTGTAATCTTTTAAAGGAAAAGCAATTATTGTTGTAGTTAATTTACGTCACACTAGAGCTGCACGATGGGTTATTGGCGACGATCTGGGAAACACCCCTGAAGAGAAAAGCAATTAAGGGCACCATTTACGAGCATGTTAGTAAAAAAAGATTTTACATCGCAAAAGATCTTTTTCATTGAACTTGAATGTATGAAGCTCATAAAATCATACAAGATCTTAGCAGTATATGAATTTGTACTAGAAAGTGGGGACAAAATTGTTTCTGATATTGGGATGGCTTCCTAGAAATTAGCTAAGCATCATGTTTCAATCAAAATATAGCTGTCTTACATGCACTTGTTTACTGTACTTATAAAATTTTATCAAATAGTTATCTTCTCAATGAAGAGCTCCTTTACTTTAAAGCTATCACTGTGGACCACAGTTTTACTGCTAATTCTATGTAAATTAATCTTGCAATTCATCAAACTCCATAATTTGAACTTTACTAATATGTTTTTTTTTAATATCCAAAAATCAGTTCTCAAATTGCTAAGATTTTGTAGAAATTTGAGTTTAAAGTAATGTTTTTTCCCCTTTAAATAAATTATATTACACCAGCCTTAAAGATACTGTTGCTGATATTAATACCTGGGATATCTATCAAATTTTGTGTCAATGTGGTATTGCGTATATTGGACTAACTAAATGTACCATTAGACTTCAAATTAAAGAACACCAAAATCAAGACATTAACCGATCTCTCATAGCTCTACATAATTGGAATTCTAATCATAGATTTGAGTTTTTCTGTTGCTAAAATCATTAAAAACTGCTCTTTATCTACTGAACTTGATTTTTGAGAGTCATTCCATGTTTTGAAATTTTCTAATAATATTTAATTACTGATCTTTATAGTATCCCACCATTTGATAGTCTATTATAATTTAATCTACTGCTTCCTGGGGATCCTGCCAAATCCCCTTACACCTGTTACTTCTATTTTTATTGTCTTGTTACATTGTGTGTCTGTGTCCTGATTTGTTAAATCACTTTGTACCTACCTGTTTATCTTTTTACTTTGTCATTTGGTGTTTAGACACAGAGAAACGTTCTTGTTGATAGAACGGAAACCATAGTATGTCCATTTCTGTATTTCGTTTTTTTTAATAATAAAATGCTTATCACATTTTGAAATTATTCTTGTTAACCATATTTTCTTAAAAGAAGTCTGTCAAATAGTTTTTGAAATTTTGGAAAAATACTAATATTTAAGTGTAATAAAAGAACAATGCATTAGGAATAAGATTACAATTTATTTTGAAAATTAAATATTTGGTCTTAATAATTAAAAACTATTCATTTTTCTGCCTCCTCTTCATTTTGTGCCAGAGAGGTGAAATCCATAAATTTTTTACTAGTTTCTGTCACAACATTCACATTCTTGGCATCTAAAGACAGGTTTTCTGTTGTTGTCGACTGCTTATTGCCAATAGCTTTAAGAATATTTTTCTATTTTAATAACATCCAAAGACTGCCACTTAGTAAGAACAAGTTTAACAACGTAGCAAAATGTTGTATAAGTAAGATCTTTCACAGAGAAATCTCAATTATTACAGAAATGTCCATTAAAACCTATTACAACAAAGCTCTTCAACCTTTTCTTAATAACTAATTTCCCTTATTCAGGAACGGAGGAAGAAAGCAATACAGGAAATATTGAGGGTTCTTCATCCAAAGGGACAATGTTTAGTATACGTATGGTCAATGAAGCAAGAGGGTCCCAAGGGATCATCTGCTTATTTAAAAAAATCTAGAGAACCTCTTTCAATTTTAGAATCCAAAGTTGAAGAAATCAAACTTTCTAATTCAAGAACTATACAGATGCCTGTGCATAAGAATCGGACAGAATTTAGCAGTAAAGATATATTGGTACCATTTAAATCGGGTGACAAGGTTGAACACAGGTTTTATCACCTTTTCCAAGAAAATGAACTTGAAGATTTAATTAAGGATTGTGGATCAAATATTATAAAATCTTATTATGATGATGGTAATTGGTGTGCAGTGTTTGAAAAATAAATATTTGTTCCTCCTTTTTGTGTGCCATAATTTTAAAGATTGCAGCCAAACAATACAGAAATGAATGCTTTGAAAAAAACATTAAATAATTTGTTTTATAAAATAAATTACTAAACTAATAAGAATAAAAATATATTTATTTATCAATAATATTTATAAACAAAATCATATTTACAATCAATATGTCAATAGATCACTATAGTATGATGCTCCATGAAATTAAAAAGGTTAAAACGTTATTCTAAAATGTCACAAAGAAAACCTGCAAGAAAAATACATTCAATACTAATTTCAATAAATACATAGCATAATGAAAATATTTCAATTGATAACTTGTAAACATACAATGAGTGAGCTTAGAGCGATATAATAAGCCACATATTCTGATTGCCCAGAGGAGCATTTCGGTGAAAAATTTTAAGATTTCTATGTAAGTCATAAAATGTTTTTGTGCATCATGTTGCTATCTAGTGTAAATTCTGAATACATGTAAAGTTTCTAACTGTTAACAGTATTAAGGAACAGGTGTAAAAATATCACCTCGGGAACTGCAGTTCATTACTATATTGCTCTAAGTTCAACAATTAAAAAGACATTAGATAACAAAATTTAAAGAAATAAATTATTTAATAATTCTTTTATATATATGTATTATATACTTTTATATGATAGTTCAAATGATGACAATTAAATCAAACAGGAATAATTAACGTATCAAATATTACCATAATTTTAAAGTTTTAGATAGAATGCTTGACACAAATAGGATAAGTATCAATTTTTTAAAAATAATTTTAAGATTTTGATATTAACAAAGAATTGTTTTGTCAGATCTTAGAGTTCAAATAATGAATAACCTGAAGACCAATTTTCTGACAAGGTGATGAAAAACTTAAATGATAAGTGATATCACTTATATAAAATCTTTAAATTTACTATATTGTACTATTCTGCTACAACTTACCATTGAAGTCCTTTACTGGCCAAGTGAGAACTTACAGGCAAGTAAAATTGACTATTTTTAAAATTGTTCTTAATTTAATACAATTTTAATTAAATTATAAATAGCATTTATATTTATAAAAACAAAAATCAACATTTTGTTCAAATTAGTCATCATTTGAAATATGTGATATTCAATAGAACATAAGTTATAATTTAAATATTTCTAAGCCTTTTATGGTTATAATATATTCATTACAAAATACTAGTTGTAAATGTATGCTTATAAAATGAGGGTTAAAGATACTGAGTTGTCATGAGGATTGGGACTCAATCCTAAGTGGCAGCTTATATCCAATGGCATGTGATTCTTTCTCTAAATCGCGGAATTATGCGACCTTTGATTCGCGGACTTCCAGGAATCAATTTAAATTCAGACAAAAGTTTCTCATAGTTTCACTGATCTAAAATTTTCATTGCTTTACTTAAGCAAAATCTCGTTAACCAGACATTTATTCCGTCAGAACCAGTACCCCCATTTTTCTTCCTAAATTCTCAATTATGGATGACAACGACTTTTTATTACGCAAATTTGTAGGGGAAAAAAAACGTAATTTTGGATAAATTTCAAGAACACGAGCTGAAAAAGAAATTTCCTAGTAACTTTGGAATAAATGAAAAATTGAGGAAACACAAAATTATCTATTAAGTTATTCCTTAATGGCCAGCATTTAAAAGATCGTTCGCTAGAATTTTTTTTTTTTTGCATTTGCAAAATGTGGAGCAATTTAGTTGCAAATTCCGATTTGTAACAGAATAAGTATTTATCCATGTGATATATTAGCCCTTTTTTATATGACTCCAATCAAATCAAATTAATTTTCAGTATGTAGGACAGGAAAATTCTGATTCTCGCATTTCAGTTATCACTTTTCACCGCGCTCGATATCATCGTAAATCCGTGTTTCAAAATTTCTTTTTCTTTTGCAGTTAGTCCAATTGATTTTCTCAAGATTTATAAAATTACAATATTATTACAACACGCGAAATTTGAACTGCACATTTGAGTAGTCACTTTTCGGTGAGCTTGATTTACGTCAAAACAATCTTAAATCCATGGTGTTTTATTTACTATTATTGCGCTACACATTTTCTCATTTTTTAAAAATTTACAGATTTTCTACACATAACGACACACAAAATGTAACTAGTGCATTCATTAGTATTCACAATGATACAGCTGTTTTTTCGATCGACTTTTTGACCGATATTACTGCTAATATCCTCATGGTTTCTTAAATACTGATATTTTCATGACATGTTATTAAGAATCGAAACATTCAAATCGCACTTTAGAATAAATGCTTTTTAACAGACTATTTGCGATAAATCTATACACTGTTTCAATCTTTTTTATTTTTTTATTGCCAGTCATTGCTGTTCATTTTCACCTGATTTTTAAAATTCTGATACGTAAAAATTTAAATTGCACTCGGGTACTCAAAATTTGATGTTAAAATTCTACAGTTTTTTTCAATACATTTTTGAAGTTATCACTACTGATTTTTGCATATTTTAGAAAATCTCGATATTTTAAATAAGATATATATTTATAACATGTGATTCACGCTACGTGACTCTCGAACCGTACATTTAAATAACCTCTTTTTTTGATTCATTTGATTTTGTCGTAGATACACATTATTTTCTTTTTCAGTAATTGCTGCGAAATTTCACAGTTTTTAAAACTTTTTTTTTCATGCTATGAATGAGGTGCGAAGTGCAAAAAAGGAGGAGTATGTAATTTTTTTCAATATAATATATATATACTCTTTTATGTATTCATGAGAATAATTTGTTTTAGATAAAAATTTTTTTCTTTCTCTCTTTAAATTTTATAAATGTTCCTTTTGAGCTTAAAAATAAGTTCAATTTTCTTTTACGTACATAAAAACCTACACAGAGAGGAAAAAAAAATTCAGATAATTTCTTCCTCCAGCAATCACATGTCTGTATCTATCACCTTGTTTAATTAAATAAATGAAAAACATATGAAATACACTTACTGGACAAATAAATATCTTAAGTAGGAGTATCCCACTGCTCAGAAGATAGGCCATCATCTCGACACTGAGCCCTTTAAAAATTTAAAAGTTATTTTACAAAATGACATTTAAATAAGAGATTTGAAGGCTGAAAGTTCTAGACTAAATTTGATTAATAAGTTTCACTTTGAGAAGAAAGCTAAATTTTGTTGCTCACACATGGAATAGTAATTTATAAAGCTTTATTTATGTACAGTTTTATAGATTGTTTTATTTATCTTCTTTTGTTTCTTTCATGCATAACTTCATAATTTTCATTTGTAGTATTATGTTACATGCAACATAAGACACAGAACAGGCACGAGAAGCAAAAGAGCAAATTAAGAAGAAAAGGTGGAAACGCACATAACAAATTAACACTTGAGAAACAATTATAAACTACATTGCGTTCAGAAAATTTATTAATTATTTTTTTTTTAAATACTGCTTAATGGAAGATAAAGAATAAATTTAATATTAAATTATAACAATTATTTTAAATTTTGACAAGAAAATGTAGCATTTGAAAAAACAATTTCAATTTCTTTTTTGCTTATATAGAAAATCAAATCATTATTAAATATTCCTTTTTACTGAAGTCTAATTAGTATCTATTGAAACTATTATTCTGAACTTAAAAATATTGTAAATAAATAAGATAAAGTATTTACAAAAACTAGCTAATATAAAATTTATACTAATACCTGTCTTTATTTTTTTTAAATTTAATATGTAAATGATATAAAAAAAACAAAAACACTTTTACTTTTCAAACATGCTCTTGAGTACAGCTCCACTTTCTTTATAGCGATCTTCATTAGCTTTAGCAGCCTGTTTCCACCTTATGAAGTTAAGAGAAAAGAAATTAAATGAAATCAAATAAATATAAATGTATGAAAATAAAAAATCATAAAATGAAATATACTTTTGTCTCACAGCTTTCCAGTGAAGTAAATGTTTGATCATTAATGCGTCTGTAGTATTTGTTTTATTTGATCCATCCTAAAAAAATTAAATAAGGTTTTATTTATAAGAAAATAATCCCCCGTACAAACAAATCACAAAAGTTTAAAATGTTTAAATTAAAGATAGTGATGTTATAGGAGAATTTAGTATTATTTTGAAGCTGGCTGCAAAAAACTTGCTCTTTTAAAATAAGATCTAAATAATTTTTTAGCAATAAATTTTAGCATAACTAAAATGGTTCTTGTATATAATGCAGTATCTGTAATCTATTAAAGATAGAAACGCAACTAAAAAATGTTAAAATACTGTTTTATCATAAAAAATATTAATTAGTAGGCACAACTTACTGAACAAATGACAAAGTGATCAACAGGTTGAGGAACAGGAGATGGAACTCTTAAGTCTCTACCTTGCAAGGGACGAGGAGGTGGAAGCTGATAGACATCTTCTGTCACTGGATTTTCAGAACCCTTTGGAAATGAAATTTATCAACAATGAACCAATTATTAATATTATTATAGTTACCAATTATTATAGTGCATGTAAATATTTAGTAATATTACACTTAACATGGTTAAAACAATATTATGCATGCACTAATACTAACAAGAAATGTATCAACACAAATCACCTGGGCCAAAATTTGATTTATTTGATATTAAGCTACCAAATCTCTGTTTTAGTTCTCTTTGGGTCTGTGGTTTTAAACAAGAGTCTAAGATCCAACCTTAAAACAGTTATTTTCCTTAGCAAACATGGCACCCATTTTATCGATTTTTAGACTGATCAAACAAGTTCTGATGTTTAAGGGATAATTTTTTTTTGAATTATGTGTAACAGAAGAAAAAAATTAATGTTCAAGTTAGTATTTTCACAGTTAATTTAAAATTACTGCAAATAATCAAAAAATTAGGCTATAAACATTCCAGTAAAAAAAAAAAAAGTCAGACTGTACTAATCATATTACTTTTGAAATAAAAGCTTTGAGATTAAAATAGTTTGAAGGTTCAAATTTGGTTATGTTACCAATTTCCACATATAAACCATAGTTATAACTTCAATTTGAACTGTCTACATCTGGAACATATTTTTCACTCTTCCAGTAAAAAAGTTATCCAAATTTATTTAATCATGTAATAAAACTAATAATTCAATGTTTATACCAATAGTTATTTATAAATTTTTTTATTCATATAATTGTGATAATTAACTGAAACAAATTTTAAAATAATATACTCACAGTTTACGTAATGTACACTAAAGTACTGTGCACAAACAATACCTTTTTTTAGCGCAATGAACAAACTATATCATTTCGTCCTTAACAATAAAAATAAAGTGTATATCAGTTTAAAAATATTCAATATTATTTCGATTCCATCATTTCAACTGTATTACAAACTAAATCTTACAGCAACAAACTCTGGATGTTTTTTTAAAAAAAATAGTCACGTCACCTGGGATTTTAATGATTTTTTTTAAAATTTTCTTTTAGACTAATATTTAATTATCAAATAGCAGTTCATCAAACTGCAACAAATAAAAAGAGAATTCTAGAGAAAGAGTTTGGCAATGAGGAATTAAAAAAAGAAGCTTATTCTTATTACCTTATCTGTGTCTTCACAGCTTTCTACATCCTCACTTACAATTTCTTCTTTAGGTGTCGTAACTGGTTTATATAATGACTGATTATTAATCCAGGCTCTGCAAATTGGATAAAGTGGTGTCTGTTCAGTAAAAGGTGTCAAATCGACAGCTCGGTCAAATAGCTTCATAACGTATGAATCTGAAAAAATAATTGTAAGTAAATTGTAGTCACAACAAGACAATTCATTATTGAATTGTATGTTGTTTATCCCTAGAGAATTATATTTAAGAAAGAAAAATACAGAAAAGTTTAAGTTTAAAACAATTGTAATGACTAGAAGCAAATAATAAAAAAAAACGTTCCTTATAATCAAATTATAAAATACAAATATATATATCTTACATTTGAAAAATAAAATAAAATAAAAAGAATTAACTAAACATTATGAATACAAAATCAAAAGGCTTTTTTATATATACATAAATCTTACAAAAGTAAAATTTTTTTTAAAGTCTTCATTTAACTATACTTGCTTTAAAGAATCTCATTTACTAATAGTAATAATTTAATTCAAATATAGGACTCGATAAAATATTTTTTATTCTTTCACAATATATGTATGGAAAAATATTTTAATGTATAGAAAATTTAATGAAAAAATTTCAATTTGTATTTTTAGATGGTTCAAACAAAGCAGGAGAGCATATGTCATTTAAGCAGTGCATCACAATAATAAATTGCATATTGAAGCAATCTGCTATTAGCATAATACAAAAGGTGTAATATAATTTTTTTTAAAAATTTATGTGAGACAATGATAATCAAGATTCTACTGTACTTGCACCCTTTTCAATATTTTTATACTAGGCATGTAGATATTTTGTGATATATTTCGTATAAAAGAACCTTTTTTGATAAAAATTATTAAAAATGTTTAGACAAAACTATGATTAAATGACAAAATCATGGCTAGATGTTTTTTTTAAAAAAATATTATTATAATATTTATATAATTTTAAGCAGGCAAAAGTATTAAAAATTAGTTTATTTATTTTAAAGACAATAATAACTTTTACTAATTGAATTTGCAAAATCACTTTTTCTAAAGAAAATATAAATTATTCAAATTCAGTAATTGCATAAAAAGTGTCAAATTAAGAATAAAAATTTACTTATCTGCCCAACCATCAAACTATAGTGCATTGTACTTAAAATGTATATAAATTATAATAAAGTAGCATTAAATGTTTTATCAATTTGACAATTTCATTGCAAAGTATTTTGTACCAGTGCACAAAAAAAAAAGGAATTTATATAATATCCTTGTACATTTTCAGATGTTACTGAAGTTAAAAAAAAATGAAAGAAAACAATTTAAAGTAAATTTTGTGACTAAGAAGAAAGTTATCTAAAAAATTGTTTTTAAAAAATCCCTGGATAAATTGACACACAGGTAGATGTTTTTTCATATTTAGTTTCTTCAGAAGTACAGACTTCTTGGAATGGATAAAATAGTAATGCACAAAACGCATAAAGTAGCAATTATTATATTGTTGGAACACAAGGACCAATTATGAAATGGCAATGAGTTACATTTCTTTGTCAGCATTACATTAGAATAATGAAAGTTTTGAAGTATAAAAATTAAATAATCAAATTGCACTAACTAGCATTTTTGTTCAAAGTTTCATCTTTACGACGACGTTTTCTTTGTGTTCTTTGAACAGGTCTTTTGGTAGGTGATAAAATAGGTGATGGTTCTCTGAAAATAATAAATTTCAAATTATTTCTCTGTTGATTAGCATTTATTCAGTTATATAAAGATATTAAATGATACCTAGCTATCGAAAATATGGATAAAAATTACAATAGGCAAACTGTTGTTTACAATACCAGTCACATCAACATAAAATATAATTAATAATAATAGACTCATAAAAAAAATTTAAGTAGAAGACACCTATTGACTCAAACTAAATTATGAGTATGGAGGAAAAAAAACTCAAAATATGTATGATCTTATATTTTAATTTTGGATGATCACAACTTAGCTTGGTGATTTAAAATTCTTTTGAATTTTAAACAGATAAATTGTCAGGTCTACATTTAGGAGACATACACAAAGTCTTCTCTTAAATGAAGACCTGATAACTTTCATGCTACAAATGTAAATAAATGTCCAAAACAAATAACAAATACAGAGAAAAAAATATTCCAAAATTATCACAGCTTTGCTTGGAGATCTTTCAAAATTATTTTAAATTTAAAGCATATGAGTTATAAAGATATGAGAGGTCTACATATAAGAGACTCTTTCAATCTGCACTTCTAAAAGTAGAGTTGATAACTTATATGCTTCAAATGAAAATACAGTGACCTCTCCCTTATGCACCACCATTTTTATGCACCTTTTTCATTTATACGACGTTTTTTATAGGTCCCAGTACATTAGGTAGGAAAATAATGATAAACATCCTTTGTTTATGCGTCACTCTAAACATAAATGTTTCAATTATGCGCCGAAATTTTAGGCTAACAGTTAAATTTTTTTATTCTTTAAATAATTTTTTTCGAAAAAAAAAAGGTTTTAAATTAAAAATTTAAGCAATTTTAAGCAGATAAAGCCTTGTTACAGATAAGAGGAAACATATTGTTAGATCCTTCTAAATAGTTCACTTTTCTTCCCCCTGCAACCTTCTCATTTTTGCTGTTTCTAGAAAGACATTCTTTCCACACTTTTGTATAGGGTGTCTTATCTGTTACACCAACAACAATGAAAGTCCATTCATCTTAAAGAAAATGACCATTCCTCTTGCTCAGAGGTTAGTTTTACTCCCATGCCGTTTTTTAGAAAGAAGAGAAAAGAAATACACCTGAAATATGAAAGAGACAGCGATCACTTACTTGCAGTCAGATGGACATCCTGAGTAAATAAAAGGACGTGGTCTGTTTAGTGACAGTAGAAATCGAACAGCTTTTGATGTCAAGTACTTTCCTATTTATCAAGTGATGTTTCACCCTCTCCCATAAAACTAAAATTTTTGTGGAGAACTGTTCAGTTATATCTAACTTAAACTTGTGGAGGATGAGCACGTGGTGGATGATACTGACGAGGATGATAAAGTTCCTCCAAATCACACAACAGTATTAAAAGCTTTAGACACTATTCGTGACTTTACAAATTAATTCTGGTTTTGAAACTCCCTTATCCCATTTATATGAACTGGAAAAAACTATTTTTGAAATACGTCGGCAAAAACAAATACAAACATGTATTAAGGATGATTTTGTAAGAAAAGAAATTGTCTTTAGGTATGTTAAATTTTTCCTTTGTATAATTATAGTAAATACCAAAACAGTATAAATATTAACATTTAATCTTTCAAAACATATTTATTCCTTTTGTCACTGCAATTTACTTTGAGTTTTAGAATTTTGAAGTTTTTCACTTATGCGTCTCATTCACTTACGCGCTTTTTTCTGTTGGCCCCTTACACCAGTGTATAAGTGAGTGTTCCCTGTAAATGTTAAAAATAAAAATATGTATAACTGCACCTATGCTTGGTGATTTTTAAAAATTGTAATAAATTTAAACCCACCGATGGTTGTGCATGTAAAAAGTTGTATTTTAATCTGCAGTCTTCTCCGCATCTAAAACCAGTTTTTTCATGTTATTAGATAGGGAAATAGTGTATAGGGGAGAAACATCCTCCCAATTTTGCCCATTAGCTAAGCCACTAGTGGATTAAAGCACATAAGCTATAGATATTTTTGAGAGCTACAAGTTTTTAAACCAAAATTTATAGCTTTTAAATACTCAATATTTTCATGATTGCAATTGTAATTTATACACAAAACATGTGTAAGACATAATTATTTGTGACAAAAGCAAAAATGTAGTAATAGAACTCCCCCCCCCCTCGTAGTTTCAAAAGATGCATACTAAGAAAAAAAACATACATATAACTTGTAAATCATGACTAAATTAAAACTTGAAAAATTTAGAGTGTAATAATAATTTACATGATAACCAAGTTGTTCTTTTTTTAAAACTTGTATATCGTGTAAATTATTATTAAATAAATATGAATACATGTATTTTCCTTCTTAAGAACATCACTTTAAAATTTAAAAAATATAAAATACAGAAGCTGTTTAATTCTTCTCCATTAAAGAAATGTATTATTTAATAACCTGGTAGAAAAAATTAAGCGTATACACTTAGCAAAAACCTTAAGCTTCACACTTTTAGATGTAGTCATTTGTCACTTGCCTGTTATATTATTGTAAAATAAAAATTTACATACATTTCATTAATAGAAACACAATATTTGATAAGAAGAGGTAGTATTTGCATACCTTTTTATCATTAAGTCTGAAAAGCCTTTATTACAATCATCATCAGAGGAGGAAGGGCTAAAATAAACAAATATATAAAAACATAAAAAGTGCAAAACATTAAGTATTTAAATAATTAATATTAAAAATTGTGTGTACCTTTCCTCAGTTTTTTCAATTATAAATTGTAGGGCTTCATCCAATTTAGATCTGGCACTTTCTAACTCAGGACCTAAAATTTAAAAACATCAATTTTGTTTGTATTTACATGTAAATAAATAAAAAAAATGTTCACTTCTGAGGCTTAGCTAAAAAAAAATATTGTATTTTAGTATTGAGAGAATAAAATAGATTCAAGTTTTTTTTGGTTGCGTTTTAAAAAAAGACGTAATTTTATCGTAAAGTCACAGTGGTGTTCATGACATTATTAAAGCTAAAATTATGAAATTTTTTCTTTCAAAAATCATTTCTCTCAAATAATGTTTTTAGTTGAAAATAACTATTATTTGTCAAAAAATCCCTAAATATTTTTGTCTAAAAATCCCTAAATATATTATCTTTTACAATTAATTTATCTTTGCGACATCAATAATTCATTTAGAATAGTTTCCTGCTAAAAATCCATAAATGTGTATCAAACTAACATTAAGTGTATGTACAGATCTACGTAATGCAATTCTATAAACTACAGTTTGCTATAACCCACATTAACTTCTACAGGTGTAAAGAAGAAAAATTGCTGGAAAATTAATTTCTTTTACTAAGAAAGAGCAATTATCTTTTTACATTATTTTTTAATTATTTGTTCAGAGGTTAAAATTTTTAAGAGCTCAGCAAACCAAAATTGATAAATCTGTTTGTTATTAGTTAGTCACCAATGCAAACTTACTGAGTGCAAGAAACTTCTGTTTTTGAATTTTTATTTTTAAGTGGTGACATATTATAATTTTTTTTTAAATAAATAGATAAAATGACCGAAAGTTTTTTAATTGGCAAAATGGAAAAGCACTCATCTTTCAAAATAGTTAAAAATTAATTTTTTAAATAAAAAAAAAACTTCAAATTTTTAGAGTTGAAATCAATTTTTCATTATTATTATTCTTTTTCTAAGACTAATATATATTTTCTATAGCGAGTAAGGTACCAACAGAAAAAAGAAAACTAAAATAATTATTTTATTCAATTTAATAAATTGTATAAAATATGCTGAAAACAATTTTACCAAGAAATTCAATATATTGTTTAACACTCAAAACTACAAGAGCCAGAATAACTTAATAACTTTTGTAAAAATTACAAATTTTACATTTTCCAGGCTTTTAAAAATTTGTTTATACACCAGATATACTTAAAGTACATTATTTGGCAAGAATATAGAATAGAGTGTTTCTTGGACTATGCACAGTAATTTGGAGTTTTTACTGTATATGAAAAAAATTTTTTATCATAAAATCTCACTTTTCATTATTTTCCAAGAACATAAAAATTTAGAAAAATAAGAGAGTTACATTATTGCAAACTCTTACCCACTATTTTTATTGATAACAAGTTTTGAGATTTTTTATTAGAATAGTTTAAGTAAATAATTATTACACTTAAAAATATAGATATTTTTCATTTTGTTCAAACCAATTTTTCTCGATGATGATCTGTATATTTTTTAAAAATATATTTTAGACAATGTTTTAGAATTTTTCATAATAAAATAATAAGATAATACACCAGACCTAGGACTTATTGAAATGATAATTTAAATAGAATGTTAGCTAATAATCCGTACACCTTATTTGGAGTAAAGTAAAAGAAAAATATGAAGACCAAGGATTTGAAGTAATGAAAAAGTTAAATATTTTCAATTTTATTCAAAAGTTGAAATATTGAATGACTTTATTTAAACATTTATTACTTATTGAGTTAACTAAAAATGCATACCATTACGCTCTTGTTTTATTTTGAAAGCCATATTTTGCATCTGTAAAATAATTTGTTTGCAGTTCAAAGTTTTCAAACAAATAAGAATAAACTTAATTTATTTAAATAAATTACTAAAACATTTATAAAAAGCAAAATATATTCAATTAATGAAACAAATCAAAACCAAATTTGTTTATTTTGGTCGTATGGCGTCCGCGTAGTTTTCAAATCTGAGATTGAGGCTGAGCTAGATCATTAATTTTACTAAAAATAACTGGTTGGAAAATATTACAAAAATATAAAATAAAGCTTGAGAATTCCTTATTAATAAAATTACAGATAATGTATACAAAAACTAATTTGGGATTTATAGATCATAGATCAAATGAGCTTCTATTTTAATTTATGGTTCTTGTTGTTTGTATCTGTAACTATTTTTCTCACCATAGCAACCGGTTCTTTTAAGTTCTGTTTTGGGTTTTGATATGTTTACTATGGATTAAATAATATTTTTGAAATTTGTAAACATTATATTTTTATGAAATATTGAGAACTATTATAAAATTTTACACTGGGCATTTTAATGTGTACTGTCCATGTTTTTAAATATTGTATTTTGATATTTTTTAACTTGAAAAGTATTTGAGAAAATTTTTCATTATAAGAAGATTGTCTCTTTTGGGTGAAGAATATGATGAAGAAGTCATCAGCTTATAAAACCGATAAGAAGTTGCATCCTGTAAAAGTGTCGAACATGAGGTATCTTTTGTTAAAGTTTTAAGAAAGTTTTTCAGTATTTCCGTCCATTAAAAAACAATTGGTGAGGTTACACAGTAATATATTTTTATTGCTGTGTATCCTATTGTCCTTTTTTAATTAATGCCTTTTTTTAAATAAAAATCCCTTTTTAAAAAAGTTATAGCATATTTATTAAAGAATCTTTATTTTGTTTTAGAAACAGACCTCCAGCCTTTGGTGCATCTGAGTCAGATTGCATTAGTGAATCTCAAATTGAATATATTGAAAACTTGCAGCAACAGATTTATGTTCTGGAAAATGAAGTAGCATATTTATATCCTTTATATTAACAATTTTTTTTTATTCTTACATTTTTTAAAACTTTTACATTATTTAAAATTTTATAATTTTTTTTTATTCAGTCATAATTTTATTATTTAATTAGTAAATTTTCATCAGCTCCTAACTGTATAGTTCTGGAAAAATTTAGTGCTTACTTTATAAAGCATGTCTTAGGCATATAGAAATTGTTTTTAAATCACAATGTAAGCATTTTGAAAAAAAAAATGTAAAGGATTTATTTGAAAAGGATTTATACTGTGTTTGCACAAATCATCTATTTACTTCTAAAGTAATTTAAGCTTTTTTTAGGGATTGACTCTTGTATTAATAAAATCTTTGATTAAATCTATAAATAATATAGGTCTAAATTTTTTTGTTGTTGTTTAAATAAAGTTTCTCCTTTTTTTGGCATTATTATTTTAGCATTGAAAATTATGAATATTTGTAAATTATGTCTAAGCTTTTTATTAAGTTCTCATTCTTTAATGTTGTTTATTTTTATTTTATCTTGAAGTTTTTTATATTTGTTATCAGATTTTTATCTTCCTTAATTAAGTTTAAGAGAACTCATATGCACGAGACGAGCAAGCAACATCCATCCTTGGTTGCAGAGAGTGAACATATGGTGAAAAAGTTATCTGTAAGTATTTCAACTTGATGACTTAGTTTTTCATATATAAACATGGTGCATAGCGTTTTTAAAAAGTGCTTAAAGGTGCTTCTTTTCGATTTTTGTTTTTTAAAAGCCCTTAAAGGTGCTTTTCTCATTAGGTGTTTTTAAAAAGTGCTTAATTTTCCTTTTTTGAAAATGTGATTCTTTTCTTCACCATGTCGATTTTTGCCACGTATGATGCAAAATCGTGGTTCTCACATTATTCTATTCAACGTTTTCACAATTCATTCAACCACAATCCATTTCACCAATCATGTTACATGTTTGAGGAAATACTTGGGAGTGACTACTGAGCTNCCTTAATTAAGTTTAAGAGAACTCATATGCACGAGACGAGCAAGCAACATCCATCCTTGGTTGCAGAGAGTGAACGTATGGTGAAAAAGTTATCTGTAAGTATTTCAACTTGATGGCTGAGTTTTTCATTTATAAACATGGTGCATAGCGTTTTTAAAAAGTGCTTAAAGGTGCTTCTTTTCAATTTTTGTTTTTTAAAAGCCCTTAAAGGTGCTTTTCTTATTAGGTGTATTTAAAAAGTGCTTAATTTTCCTTTTTCGAAAATGTGATTTTTTTCTTCCCCATGTCGATTTTCGCCACGTATGATGCAAAATCGTGCTTCTCACATTATTCTATTCAACGTTTTCACAATTCATTCAACCACAATCAATTTCGCCAATCATGTTACATGTTTGAGGAAATACTTGGGAGTGACTACTGAGCTGGGTTCGATGAGACTCTTGCACTCTCATGTGCAACTCTGCTGCATTTTGCAAGATATTCTCAATTTCAGGCTTCATTCACCACCCTCTGAAATCGAACCAAAAAATCTCTCTATCTTTTTGTTGTGGCTAATATAATAAAAAAAATAGTGTTTAGTCAGAAACTAGTTATTTTATGATGATCATATAAAGTCTTCGAAAATTATTTTGTATTTTGTTAAAGTGTATAGTGCTTAAAAATATGTTTTGAGTGCTTAGAAAGTACTTAAAAGGTGCTTATTTTTTGTTGAAAGATTTGGCTACTCACCCTGTTAAAGTTTCCATTATTTTCCCAAATATAATTATATATGTTGGTAGTTATCAAATAAAATACTAAATCCTTTTTTGAACATGGACAACATTTACTCTTTTTGTTGTACTAAGCATGTTATAATTTTTTTTATATGAGGTTTCGGATAATTTTATTTACTCTTTTTGTTTATCTGAAAAGAATTTTGAGTGCTTGTTATATAAAATTTTGATTGTATTCACGGAAAGTTTAGAATTATTTATCTCATTTTTGTATTATTTTAGTTCTGATGTGCGAAGAATTCATTTTATATCTATTTTTTATGTTTATGCCTTTTTAAAATACTAAAGTTGATAAGTGGATTTTTTAATCTTAGCATTTGTTTTAGGATAGCCACAGCGAAATGAAGAACATGAAAATTGATTTGAAAAGAAAGCAGACATCTATTGATTTGTTGAGATCTGAAAGAGACAGAGTTCAAAAAACTGTTAACGAGTTGGAAGGTATACAGAATACTGCTTTTTTTCTGTAGATTTATTTCCTTGTTTTATATATTCATTAAAATAAAATCTGAGATTATTTTAATCCTTCCAGAATTTTATCAATTTATATTTTATTGTTGGTTTAGTTTTGTTTTTAAAATTTATTCATTTCAATTTGCAAGATTTTTCAATAAAGCTTATGCTTGTGAATTCGAATATTTTATTAAACTGTTGAAATAAAAATTTTAAATCCATGCTTTGTAGCTTAAAATGTTCTATCATTTTCTGAATTTTATTTTTAGAAATGAAGTCAATTAAAAAAAAGAAAAAGAAACCTTGTTAGAATAAGTTTTAACTAAATATTGTTGAAATATTAATTTAAAGAAAATAAAATTGGTCAGTAGAATTATATTGAAATCTTTATCCTACAAACATTTACTTTGAAAAGTTATTGCCTTACAATTGTTATTGCTTTGTTTAATTTGTATTGAATTTTTTAAAATTAATTAAAATCAGTTTGTATTCAATCTAACTATGATTTATTAATTGGACATCTGTATAGTTTTCTGGAAATCATTATTTTAATTTTAATTGATTAAAAGTTTCGAGCATGCTGTAAAATACTTCAAATATTAATGTTACTAATTAAAACTTGTAGTAGGAAAACTGAAATTAATGATTGTTTGACCTGCTTTTTAAAGAAATGTTTGTGCTTAATTTGACTCTTTTGAAAATAATTTGAACTTAAATTTGGTTTTACAGATTCTACTTAATACATTGATTACAATTTTTTCCCCTTAAATAATAGTCTTCTGTAACTGCTAAATAATTTTAATTTTTAGACTTGTAATTTTAAATAACGATATTGATATTTAAAGTTTTATGCATATTTCTGACGTTGGCAAATGATTAAATGATTTCATTCAGGTGTGTTAAGTTATAAAAAATAAATAACGAAAAAAGCCACCTTTGACGTAATAAGTGTTCCAGAAGTTTGCCTTCTTTTTTTGCTTTAACAGAAAAAAAAAGAAAAGAAGAAAGAAAATGTAATTGGTTATAGGGGAATTAAGGTTATTAAATGTGCTTAAAGCATAAGTAGTTGCTTAATAAGTACTTAGATTGTAGCTGTTATTCTTTGTTTTTACTCATTCATAAATTTTGTGGAATATGGTTTTATTTTTTTCAATTCAAAAAATATTCTTTTAAAATTATTGAATAACTTTTAATATCAAACGCAAATGACATACTATTAATTCAAAATAATTTGTGTTTAGGATATCTGCTTTATAATACATGCAATCATATTATAATCTGTATTAAAATAAATTGATTATCCATGGTCATTGAAATATTGCACAAGCAAGCACTTGAGAGGGTTTGTTGTTTGCTTATTTTTGCTGACAGGAGGAAAAGAAGGGCATGAGTCATACTTATGTCAGATATTAGCATCTATTTATTTCAGTTAAATTTTAAAAAAATATGTTGTATTAAAAATTAGAAAAATTACGTTTGGAAAAATTCCAAATTGTTAAATTTAGGAAGTGAAAAAGTTAGAAAAAATTTTCTTTAAAGAGTTTCAAAGTTTAAGACATTTAACCGTATATGAAATATTAGAGATTTCTAAAGAATATATTCTGACTATATTTCTATAGAGAATATATTTCGGATATTATTTGACTAGATTTGATAGAATAAATTAAGACCAAATTTTGTTTTATACAAAGTTATATTTTGACTTGTATTTAATCTTAAAATTATATCACTACAGTAAAAGTTAAAGCAAAAAGCAAGGGTGGCAGTGTTGCAACTTTAGTTAAGCATGAAAGAAGGTTTTGTGATTTGCTTATTTTTGCTTACAACAATAAGAGATCCCAAAGTTACCAAAAACATATACATATCATTAATTTTTAATTTATTGTTAACTTAATATTGATAATACAATTTAAAATTTGACTAAAAAGGAAATTAGTCTTGGTCAAATTTAATTTGATTTACAATCATGAAAATGAAAGCTATGACTGTTCACCTAATATGTTTGTAAAAATATGTTATTCAGAAAATGCTTTGTATTATTTAAGCTTTGTTTGATGCATTCAAAACATTGTAATGCTTTTAAATGTATCCACCCATACTCTGTAAGAAACCCAGTTTAATGAAGTAACAGTGTTTTTAATTTGCAATTATTATGGTATTAAAATCTGAAAAACTGTATTACGTTATAATTGCATGAATTTTATTTATAATAGCTTATTTATAATATCTTCAAATATAAATTTATGGCTAAAATAGAAATAAATTCTATGTTGATGTAATTTTTGAACAAACATTTTCAGAAAGATTCCGAAAAGAAAAATGCACTATTTTGGAAGACTTGATTACAGTGCAAAAAGAAAAAGATAACCTTCAAGATGAAAATGTTAAATTGGAGCAACTTTTAGAAGAACATAAACAAAATGTTATTAAATTACAGGACGAAAATGACAATTTGGAAATAGATGTTCAGCAAGCTGAAAAAGAGGTACTTCAAATGTGATAATGAAAATAATTTGTGTTATTTGAAATTTTTATTTCCTCTTTAATGAAACATTTTTTTTTAAATGTTGCTTATTAATATTAGATTTTGTGACATCTAAAAAATTGCTAAAATAAAATCTTATCGAAAATTTAAAAATTTGTACAATTTTGAAACTAATCTAACAAGAAGAAAATAATTAAATTTATAATAAGATTAACACACAAAAAAAATTGTTCTCACAATTGCATTAACTAAATATTTTCTGAATTCAAATAAATTAATTAGGGAAAATCTAACTATACTTAACATTTTGTAATGAAGCCTTTTTTCAAGTCAGATTTCAATGTAAAAAAAAAAAAATTATTCTCACAATTGCATTAACTAAATATTTTCTGAATTCAAATAAATTAATTAGTGAAAATCTAACTATACTTAACATTTTGTTACGATCCTTTTTTTCAAGTCAGATTTCAATGTTAAAAATAAATAAAAAATTACATTATATGTCAAATACTCAACATTGGCTTTCATTAATAAAATTGAAAACAAAACAATGTTTAAAAATAATTTGTGTTTAATTAATGATGAAAATATAAATCTTATAAGCTTATGGTTACAAACATTCTAAATAGGAATCATGAGTGCTAATTGTTAATAAAAGTAAGAACTAGGCAGTCTGAACTTTAATTACAACAATTATTGTACAATATTAAATTACTAAGAGTTTTACAGTGAAACCTTGATATTACAAACTTCTATAACACCAATTTTTGAATATTAAAAAGAAATCTGAATCTAAGCTTTTGTTATGTTGTTAATCATGACCTCTTTTAGCCTAATAGATTTCATGAAATATTTTTGATCACCAGTGTTATTATGGTGAATTTTTCAGTGAGCAAAGCTAAAAATTCCAACATTTTGTGTACAGTAAAAAAACCCTATAGAAACATTAGAGTAACTTTTGTTTCTAGCTACATTTGGTTTAAAAACTTTCTAAATTATAACGGCTTTAAAGTAAGGTTTTTTAAATGTTTCATTTGCATTCATAACCTAGTTTAATGATAAAAGAACCCATTATGTCAATGCAAGCACCAAGCATACAAATTTATTTTTATTGCATTTGAACTTTAAAGACATGTTTACGAAAAATTTAGAAGTTTTGCAATTAATAAAAAGTGGCAAAATAGTGATATAAAAAGAAATTTTATCATTAAATCAGTAGAGGTATGCAGTTTTCTCATGTACCTTTTCTGTAATACTTCTATGAATAACTGATAAATTTTTTTTCTTCTAATTTCTGAAGTATTTAAAATGCTTCCTAGAGTTTTAATTTTTAAAAATTTTTCTTCAGTAATTTTATGAATTATTTCTATGAACTCTAATAAAAAGAAGTTTGCCATGTTTGAAAAGCCCTTGCCAGAATCATCAATTTCTAAAGAAGTAGACTTGCAAGATGTGTGCATAGATAGAAATGTTTAATAAAATTGGAGAGAACTTGTTAATTTAATGAATCCCTCCCAAAAAGAGGATACTTATAAGGAAGTAGTTACTGAGGGCAATAATGCTTTAGTTTGTGTGGTGACTTGTGGTGAAGAAACAAAGATATTAAAATGGTAAAATAATCTGCAAAATCGAATATCAATGAAAAAACAATGTTATTAACAATTGTTCAAGTAACTGTTTTTTGAAATAAATACATGTTATACAATTTTTAGAATGTCAATAGAATTATTATTTTGATTGAATTGTTAAGAAATATTTAATTGAGGTTGTTTATTAATCCTCTATATTACTGAATTTATGTTGCCCTTCAATTTTATAATGCTGAGGTTTGACTGTTTTGATAAATTAAATTTGTATAAATATTTAATTTGACAGTTTTAAAATAATTTTATTTGCATGCTGTATTTAAGCAAAGAATATTTTTAGATTAAAGCTGACAAGCAATTTATTGAAGAATTGCAAGAAAGTAAGCAAAAAATACAAAAGGAACTAATCGAGGCGAAAATGATATTAAGTTCCAAGCCATCTGACAAACATGAGGAAGCAGTGAAAATGTTAAAAGTAAAGAATTTCTTTTGTATCATATATTATAAACTTTTTGTTTTGTTGTTTTTAATTTATATTTCAGTTTTTGTTATTGTTTAATGATCTATATTTGAGGTAAGCTAGAATCTCTAATATTTAAGTCTCTAGTTGAATAGAAAGCTTTCTCATATTTATAGATTAATTTCCTGTTAAAAATCAATAACATTAAAATCTATAAAAATAATTATTGTAAAAAAATTTTCTCTCTAGGAAGTAGGGATAGTTTCACATAAATGATGAGAAACATTTAAAAGCGTTTATTTTCTCCTCTGTATTTCATGATTATGGCATAATTGAAAATCTTGCATCATGTTTTCACAAAAAATCCCTACCGTTAAAAGCAAAGCACTCATTTCTCAGTGAATTTCTGTAGATAGTGTGATGCTCCTTCTGATTAACTCAAATGTTAAAACAAACAATAAACATGAACTCACTAGAAAAAAAGACAGAATGTCTAATATACTTTTATTAGTTGCTGGAATTTTGAACACTATGCTCTAAAATATGTTTTTATTTTTGATATCAATTAATAATATACATAACTGCAGTTCATTCCAAAAAATGAAACTTAACTTTTTTGTATTCATAAAATTTTTATAAAGCTTATATGTTCATATTATTTTGCTTCTAAATAGTAATGATATTGATATATATATATATAAAATTTACTTTTTGGTATAATTTTATTATAGTGCAATATTGAACAAATCAGTGAAGAACTTGAAACTGCAAAACGGTCTCATATTCATGAACATATGTTGCGGGAACGCTTAACTCAAGACAATGCTGATCTAATAAAGAGACATGCACAACTTGAAGCTGAGTTGGCTGATGTGAAGGCACAGCTGCGAGAAGTTAGTAGGCACCTTTCTTTCTTTTATAATGTTTGTTGTGTATATTATCTTAAATTTATTCCATGTTTAAATTCTTTTTTTTTCTTCGAGATTATGTTGATCCTTGATCAATCATGTCAATGAAGTGTGCAATTTTTTCTTGTGTAATTTAGAAAAAAGGAACTTCATATTTTTGCATTATTAAGAAATATTTTTAGTGAATATTTAAAATTGTATATTTATCTAAAAATTATTTTTTTAACACAAATTGAAGCTGATCTCTAGTAATATTTAGGATACAATAGCATACAACACTTAATACTATTAAACATATATAGTACTAAAAATAAATGTTTAAATTTTTTTTGAAAGAAAATATCAGTAAATGTGTAAAATATTTGTTTTATATATGATGTATTTATGAATGAAATATATGATGTTAAAGTTGACCTAAAGATGATAAGATATAGTATAACATGAAGTATATGTTTTGCTAAAGAAATAAATTTGATTAAATTTATAGCTGCTTTCAAATCACATGTTTTCCGTAATTAATATTTTTCAATGAAAAGCCATGTGCTATTTATGCAATAGTAGTAACCCTTTACGATTATCACTATAAATGAAATCAGCATTGCAAAATTTATGTTGTTTACTTAAAGTTTTTGTAATTTTTTTTAAAATTGCATAAGTAAATGAAACTTTTTTCCTAATATTGGTAATTTAGTAATTCTAATAATATATATTATTGTTAAGCCTATAAAAGGCTTATAATTTGATTTAATGAATTAAGCTAATACAACATATTTATATATATATGTACACACACACACGCAGTGAGAGAGAGAGATAACACAATAAAGACAAAAAAGATAGATTCACGAAAAAATTTAGGAAAATAATGATAGGTTTTTTTTTTAATGCGCATAAGATGCAAGTACATAGAACTCACAAAATAAGTTAAAAATACAAAGGAAATAAGGAGAAATATATAAAGTTTTTAAAGAGAAGAAAAAAAATTATTAATAAATAAATAAAATAGTTTGAAAAATATTTAAAAATTTAAATATATATTATACACAGTCAAACCTCATGAACATCAATTCGAAGGAGGATAGAAAATTTGTTCAGGTTAAAAGTAGTTAAAGTTATTAGTACAAATTTTTTTTTGAAAATCATACATTACGCAGACACTTTCTAATATCTATATCTATTTGCTTTTTCTAAACAGAAAGTTCTATAAGGAGTTGATAAAATATTAATAATGAGTAGATTAACTATTAATTATTAAAATGTATAAAATTAATATCTATTCCATGGCAATAGAAGTTTTTATTTTGCACTTTATATTAAATTAATAACCTCTATAAATAAAATCAATTTACTACGGTCATAAACTTATCAAAAAATATATATATGTATAGTTCAGATGATCAAATTCAAAAAGTGTACTTACTTTCTCTGTTCTATTTTTTATTCTATCGAAGCAAATAAAAAAAATTATTGAAAAGTAACTAACTAATAGGAGGGACTAATAGAAACGAAACCATCGGGGTACTGAGGGAGTTAATTTAAGCATTTGCTTCTCCCTCAATTAGAAATGGCTTTGTTTTTATGACTACCGGGGCCGGTACCCCCTGAAGACGTCTGCTTCGGTGGTAATATTTTTATTTTATTTTTCTTCATTGCTACTTTTTCTGAAATTTCTGCTGCTTTTTAGCGCATTTTTTTCAAAGAAGTTTTTTCTATTTAGAATTAAAAATATTTGTGTTTTCTTTTAGTACAATATAACTAATAGGAGTAAAGTGACGTATTACAGATATTAGAGAGGATTCCTAACAAAATTATCAGTAATGGCATGCTGTTTTTGTGATTATATCAGCAAAAAAGAGTGCTTTCTAATATTGTACTTTTTAATACAATATAAAAAAAAGCACTCTTTTTAGTAGATATGATTGTTTGAGCTACTGAAGAGATTATTTCTTTTCTTTATTTTATTTTCTAACTTTTTAAATATTTTTTTTAAAAAATTTTAAATATTTTTTAAATGTTTTTTTATTTAATATTTTTTTTCTTTTCTTTAAAAATATTTTTTTTCTCCATGTTTTCTTATACATATACAACTTATATACAAATTTATACATATACAATATATTAATCTAGCAGTCGATAAAAAATATGAGTATGTTTATTGATGTTTTTTAATTTTTTTTTGTTACAGGAACAAAGTCTGCGATCATCATTGGAACAAATTCATCTTGGCACTGTTCTTGAATCAGCAGAAAATTTGAGTCGTGAAAATACTTTAAAGGATCAGATCCAAAATTTAACTTCTCGTCTACAAGAAGAAACAGAAACAACAAATACATTAGAGCATAAGGTAAACATTTTTGATTTTTTTAATAGAAAATTTTAATCATTAATATTTTCTCCATGAATTCAGCTTTGTGTTTTACACATAGTTTATAGTTATTATATAACAAATTGGAATTACTCTGTTGTAATTTCTTTCCCAGTTTATAAACTGCTGACTTACATATTAGATTGTTAATGTTTAGAATAATAATTGCATAAGTCTGTTATTTTTGAGTCCAACCATTATCAGAGTCTAGATTTAAACATGAAAATTACTATTTGTGATGGGGTTTAAATACTTGATTTTGTTTTGAGACTAATTTAACCCATTAAGTGTTTTCAGATATTTTTTTTTATGTATTTTTCTGGTTTCTTAACTATTTCCTAGGAACAATATCATAATAACCACATGGACATCAGTAAACATAAATCTTTTATGTTATTGATAATTTGCATCAATAATAGTATTTAAATTACATCATTCATATTCTAAACTGATGTTAATTTATAACTGTGAAATTCTAATGTTAGTGGGCGGAATGAAATATTAGTTATAAAATTAAGATAATTACAAAATGGAAATTAGAGATAATAAATGAAATATTTAATTTAAACTTAATTTTTAATAATATTTAAAAATAAAATATTTTAAAATTAAGATAATTATTAAAAACTGTACTACAGAATAAAGTAGAAGCATTAAAAATAAGGCTATATTTTTATTGAAAAAATGAGAATTGTTAAAAAATTTTTTTACCAGAGTTATTATCTTTAAAGGTGTATTAATGTTAGAAAAATGTGGTTCCCTATTCAAATGCAATTCTAGGTTGAGAAATGGCATTTGCTTAGCTAAGGTTTTTAGACTGCTTTACATCCTAACAATTACAAATAAAAGTCAAATTTATGTTATATATTACAGCAGGATTTCATGATTAGTTGGCTAGTGCTGATATTTATTTAAAGTTTTGTGTTGTCAATATTGCACATTCACATTTCTTTCTCTTGCATTCTTTTATTTATTTCTGTATTTTATTTGATTTATTATAAATATTTTTCTGGTATCGCCTATTTCATTTTTAAAATTTTGTGAAGTTAGTGAGGAAAAATTTTTGAAATGTTTTTGATGAATTTTTGCCTAAAACTTTTGTAGTAAGTATTTTCACTGGATTAATTTATATTTTATTTGCTTAATTGTTTTTTTTTATAGTTGTCTGATGAAAAACGCCAGAGAATCAGAGGAGAAGAGAGGTTCGTTAACATTCAGGAACGACTTGATCAAAAAGAGGAGCAACTTAAAGTAATGAAAAAGGAGAATGTAGGTTTATGGAGGGACAATTCTTATCTGACTGATCAAGTTACTCAGTACAAGCAGCAGGTAGATAGCAAATTTATAATAACATAGAATAATTATTATTTTTTTATGAATATAAAGCAAAAGCTTAATTTTATAATATGAATATGCCTTTCTAATTTAATAACATTTATAATGTAAAATTTAAATATATTTGTTCGCTTTTTAGAGATAATGATAAAGTAATTTTATATTTTTTTATGTAATAATAAATTGTTTAAATTATAGAACACAATTTATTAAATTTATGTCAAGAAATTATGTACGTGCACAACTTTATTTATGTACTTGCATAACTTTATTTTGAGCTATACATCAATATTCAGCACATATTTATTACAAATTTTTCAGTACACTATAACTTGAAAATTCAAGTCTATGCTTTTATAGTATGACAATAAAGACGCAGCAATTAATAAGCATGAGTTATAATCAATGTATGGATAATTTTATGTAAGAGTATATATTATAACCCTTTAATAATCACTTAAACTTTACATTTAATGTGTGATGGGGCAAAGCTTATCAGTTCTGAAATATTTAGCTCTGTACATAGCTTAGCACATTTAAGAAGTAAACAAATATGAAAAAGATATAAAGAAATTATTAACAAACAAATTTGTTTGAACTCCAAAGCAAAGGCTTTTGCAAGGGAATTTCTTACTTAGTTACGAACCTCATTGAATAATTAAGATTGCTTTGATTGCCTTAAAGCCAAAATTTATTAATTACATATACAGTAGAAGATCTATATATGAAGTAATCTATATAGTACAAAATTCTATAATATGCAGAGTCTCATGTTTCAAGGTTTGCATTATCAAGATCTTCATGGGGCGGGTCAGCCGCGGCGATGGATCAGAAAATTTCGTATATCCTAAGAATAGAGTGGGTCGTTCGAACTTAGATCTTATCAAGATCTTCTAATGTATATTTGTTGGTTTTATGTATAATCTTTACAATTAGTTTTTTATGACTTTCATTTTTATAATCATGGAATAAGCATTTAAGATTCTTTTATCTTTATACACTTAAGATCTGAGTAATTTTTTTATAATAAATTACATTAAAGAAATTTTGCTTATTAATGTTTTTCGCAGTAATAAATGGGTAATTTAAGATTATCAAATAAATTTTTTTAATTGCCATATACTTGGTTTGAAAACAAATAATATTATGCAGAGAGAATGAGTTGAAATGATAAAAATAGCCATGTATTAAAAATAAAGGCAGAAATATAATTCATTATTAATTTCAATGTCTCAACTAAGTCAGTGGTTTTATGATTATAAACTAGCACCCTTTCCCCGAAAAATATTTATTTCTTACAAATTTCTAATTTGTTTTTAGTTATTTTTACAATTTAACGACGATTAATAATTAAAACTATTATGTGTATTATATATTACTTTTACAATTAAATGAGAAGCTGAAATTTTTTTTTTAAATTTTGAAAAACTCTCATCTTAAGAAAGGGTTTCTTTTTTTTGCCCACTCATTGCTTCAGATGTGAAAGCATAGTGTTTATAATTATTAAAATTGTCTATTAATTTTTATTTTAAAATAATTACATTCTTCTATTAAAAACAACTAAATTACTGAGCAGAATCTGAATTTTAACTCATTTTTTTGAAAAAATGAAATAAAATTTAGTTTATGAAACTAATTCATAAAACTGTTATATTATTTCTTTATGTCCATGCAAATTATTTATTTTTAAAATGAATGTGTTCTTCAGTTGCAGCATAGAGATGATTAAATAGTTGATTGAAAATTTTAATAAAACTCTTATATTATTTATTTTTGCATGAATTATTTATTTGTAAAATGAATGCATTCTTCAGTTGCAGCATAGAGATGATGAAATAGTTAATTTGAAGCTTAAAGTACAAGAGATGCAAATTTCTGTTGAGAAGTTTATTCAGTCAAATCAAGCTGCCACTCAGCTTGCTGGTGAAAAATGGAAACAACTTTCACAAATGGTCCAAAGTATGCAAGCTCTCACAAATTTAGATGATCAACGCACATAAGTTTTACAAAATCATTTTTATATTGATTTATACTGCTATTTACTGCCACTAAGATGTGTTGTATTATTTTAAATTTTTATATGAATTGTTAATGAGTGTTTTAATTGTTGTTTATGCAATAGTTATGTAAGTAGATGCAAATTGTTGTGTAGTACAGAATAAAATTTGTATTTTTAAAAAAAATGTAGTTAAGGTTTTATTTGGTTCTTTGGATGTATTTCAATTTGTGATTGGTTTATTACAAGGTTTTATGAATGTGATGTAAATATGTATTTTGTTAACTTAGTATTTGGATTGTACCACTTTTTTAATCTTTTGACAACTAAAGCTGTAAATTTTTTTCTAACTCCTGGCAATTTGATAAATCCTTTATTATACAGTACTTCTTTGTTAATTAAGGAAGAATTTGAAAACCAATATAAATTTATTGCTTGAAAGAAATATTTGATTTTTAGAATCGAAAGATGAATATGTTACAAAGAAAGATGAAACTTTGGATTAATTTTTAGTAAGATCACTTTACCTGTCTCCAGTTTTATTTGAATCGTGAAAACCTGCTATAAAAAATCTTACAAAGGAATAATTTTTCTTTAAAGGAAATTGTAATGTGATATTATAGCTGAAAAAATGTGAAAACTTGACTCCCAATATTACGATTTTGCAATGAAAGCCGTTTTTTTGAAAAATTACTTCTCCTCTATCAATATAAATATTAAGAAAATATAAATATAATCAATATAATATTAAGAAAATATAAATATAATCAATATAAATATTAAGAAAATAAAAACATTTTATATGTTTTTTTAAATTTTAGTATACATGAGAAAAAGGGGCAGTAAATTAAAGTAAAGCATTAGAAAAATGATTAACTTAGCAGTTTTTTTAATTTTATTTTTGAGTATTACAAATTCCATATTCAAATTGTCTATTTATGTTGTTATTTCTAATGACACTTGAACAAGTCAAGCACCCGAGACATTCGCATTGAAAATTAAACCTGGAAAGTGCATCTTTTGTTTAACAAGGGCACACCCCTTGGGTGAAAGTGTGCCATTGCTCAGAATATCCCAGATGGATGGTAGCATTCATCTATGAGACCACTTTCACTATTTTGACATTGATCTGAAGGGGAAGGAATTTTTCTCCAGATTCCTGTACCCATGGTGCTGCTGAGTGACCGACCACAGGATTTTCTATTCCACAGATTTTACGAGCATGTACTCGGTGGGTGTTAAAGGTTTTGAGGACCATACCCTGGTCCTTTCAGACTGAAGCCCAGATCTCTAATTACTGAGCTATTTCGCCCCATGTATTTATTATGCAACAGGATGCTTAGCTTTTTTAAAAAGTGCTTAAAGGTGCTTATTTTCGTTTTTTGAAAGCCCTTAAAGGTGCTTTTTTCATTGGGTGTTTTTAAAAAGTGCTTAATTTTTCCTTTTTTAAAATGAGATTTTTCCTTTACCATATTGATTTTAGCTGTGAATTATGCAAAAAGACGCAGTTCAAATTTTTCTATTTAACGTTTTCACAATTCATTCAACCCAATCTATTTCGGCGTATTGTCAGTCCGTAGCGTTTGAAAACGCCATTCGTTTTATATGATTCAAAACTTCATAATTTTTAACAATTGTTAAAAACAATGCCAAAAGTTTTTTTCTGACATGATGGTTGAAATAAATCAATTGTAAAAAACTTTCCAACCCTGCTTAATTATGATACTTTTTTAAAGTGCTTAAAAATATCTTTTGAGCGCTTGAAAAGTGCTTAATGTCCGAAAATTCTGTATTAAAATTTTAAATTAAATATTTTCTTTTGCTATTATTAAAGCAGATCACTTTTGTAGTTACTTTGCATTTTTTTTTTAAGTTTTATGTTGAAAAATAAATAGTTTAACTCTCTATGTTATTATATGAGAAAAAGTTTTAGTAGTATACTTTTAAATGAAGTGTATGATTTATTTTTTTAATAATAAAACATAGCTTGATGATTTCCAATACAAGTATAGGTTCTTAAAATTTTTAAAGACGAATTGTTTTAGATTTTTTAAAAGTAAATGTTAAACACTTAATTCGGACATGTTTACCTTTTCAGCTAAAATTTTTAGAAACAATAATAAAGATGAACCATAATCCTTTATTGTTTTGAATTTAAAAGTCCCCAATGATATGCAAAAGATAAAAAGTTATAGCAAATCTACTATTTTAATTTTAAAGTTAAGAATATGAGTTTGAGTTCTAAAGCATAGAGAAAATCTGTTTGGTTATATCAGGAAAACGAATTTATTCTCTTATAATAAAACAGTGTTGTTGTTTATCAGACTTAACGCTTTGTACCTCAAGTTCTGTGACAGGTTTTGGTGAAATTGTTTGCCAACATTAAATTTATGTGAGAAGTTTAAAGTGCTAAATGACACTGGGGGACAATTTCTTTGGTGCATTAATACAAATATTTGATTTTGCGTAACTAGAGTGTGGAGATTTCAAATATTAAATTACTTTTACTTCTAAAGCTAAAGATTTTTTTAAAACTACATTTATAGTCTACTTATTGTCGAAGTGTGCAAGTTAAAAAAACGTTATATATAACAAGGGGTCGCGTAATTCTTGTGACAAATTTTTAGGGAACTCGGGGCACATCATCAGAATTAAAATTGCATAGGAACTCATACTCGGAAATTTCGTCGTTCGCGACTATGATGTAAACAGAAGCACACGAAGAAACAATTCCTAATAGAGAAGAGCCCCTAACGGCGTATGACGACATTTCGTCGTCATCGGTAGGATTCCAACGCAATTTTAATCCTCATGATGTGCTCTAACTTCCCCTGAAAGTTTGTCGCAACACCTACGCTGCCGCCTGTTATATATAACGTTTTATAATTGTACATTTTGACAAAAAATGTCATTTAAATTAAACTAGCATGGAGAGAGAAACCAACTGCATATTTGAAATCAACGACTTGAAAATGTCCAAGATCTGTTACAAAACCACATACAACAAGAAACAAAAGAAAAAAAAATTTCTCAGTGTAATTGGGTTTTGGAAAGGAATTTAAAACACATTATAACGGCTAAATAATCGTTTTACAATTACATTTGTGTGCAGATCTTAGTATCTTAGCTAGCAAGTAAGTAGTTGCCTGTAATTTATTTATTCTTCAGTTTATCCGGTTTTTTGAATGGCGTCATTTTTTAATACATTGATTTTAATTGTTCTAAAAAGCAAACGCATATTCAAAATTTTTATTGCACTATTAAAAAGCTCAAAATTAATATTTTTTACAAACAAAATCTCAAAAACTGGACTGGGATATGATGTAAAAAGTAAGTAAGAAACATTACTAGGGGATTTTTTACTTTATCGCGCCTCCGAGATAATCGTAGTTACAGATTTGATTTTGAAACACATATTATGGAGAAAACATGAGAATGTGACGTTTTTGAAGCAAAGGAGGTTGTGCAACCTAAGGTGAGGAAACTTTGACAGCATGCCCTTTTTAGTGGTAATCTGTTCAAGTTATTAGTACTGAGTATAATTTTCTCCCGTACTAAAGAAACAACAAACCTTATGTCATGAACATTGAAAAAAATACCTTCTCTCAACTGCTAAAGAAATTTATATCTTAGTTATTAGGCAACGGTTTTCTTTTATGAAGCTTGGCTGAACAGCTGGAATCGTTCTTTTGTTAGAATAAATGTACGATTTTTAATATTTTCAACAATCAAATATGATTCTATTGTAATTTCAATAATCAAATACTAAAGCATATAGCATATATGAAACATTGACTTCACTTGCATTTGACTGAAAATAATATACTTCAACGACGGACTTAAAAACTCAATGGCAATTTTTTTTCCAAACACCTTCCATGTAGATTATCTTGGCAACACATATAGTTTGTCTAAAGCAAGAACTCCCCTAGCCATTCGTCTGGACCCATAATGGTGACTATGGTAACGAGGTATAACTATTTCAAGGTAGGGTCATTGCTTGGGACAGGTTTTGGCACGGTCTGGTCTGCAAGAGAAAAGGAAACTTTTTCTTCGGTCTATTGTGTTAGCCCTAGAATGAAGAAAAGCTACCCTTCCTGAAATGCGCTATTCTTGTTTCCATAGCAGCAGACGTCCTCAGACTTTGTGGCGAGGGGAGTTCTTACCGTAGACAAACTATAACCGATAGGTCTATAACCAATAGTTTTTGGGGAGTCCATCTCATGCGGCAATGGCAACTATTAGGGGTGCCCTCCATCCTGAGATTCAATGGTACAACATTTGGTACAATTTTAACACGTTTAGAAATAATATTTTATGTTTTTTTTTATGTCTTGATGTCTTCATCAAGTAATTGTATGTTAAAAAATATAATTGGTTTTACCCGTGTTAGTCGGTTAGTCAAGTATAGTCTTATGGAACATAAATATCTTATTGAGTTTAGATATTTTTTTTTCTTGACCAAAAGGTGAAGAAATTCACTTGAAAAATATCCTACACATTAAATTTGAATTCATTATCAAAATTTAAATGTATCATTCTTCTAAAAGCTGAAAATGGAAATTTATCACTTTTCATGTAATAATTAAAATTATTTTAATTGAATTGAATTTTTAATAAAATTTTTTTTATCGTACATATGAATTTTTTTCTTCTGGATAAAAATTGCATTTTCTGCCATTATTTAGGCACCTTTCGTCTATATAAATAAAGCTGCTGTTTCCTGATTTTAAAGTAAAGGGAAATTCTTTTTCCAATCTTTTTATATAAGATCTAAGATTATTAATCATGTTATTGTAGAATAAATTTTTTACATATGTCTTGATTCTGATGTTTTATGCAGTTTCATGATGTTTTAGTTTAACAGTTTTTATTTCATTCGTTCTTACCACCTTAAATGGCAAGTAGATTTACCTCCTGGACGAAACATTAATTTGAATGCTTGGACAAAGCTGAAAATTGGCACAGAATTCCGAAAATTTTGATGATTATGGAACACTTACCTTAAAAAAAAATGAAAGTATTTTTCACATAAAAGAAGTTCATATTATTATTTTAATGAAAATTTGAGGCAATGTTTATCGTATCACATTTTTTTGGAAAAGATTATTATTGCAGCATTATTTTCAAACTAGTTTTAACACATTCTTTTTAAAAAATAAAACATTTTTTCAATACATATTTTTT